TATTTATATATTGTAATTTACACGGATATGGAGGATTGTATGCACCGGTATGGGACGGTGACATATTAGGTATGGTTTAGCTCAAAACGCTAATTCCTACCTTATGGATTTTAATTACTAAACGGTTTTACATGTTCTGTCAATTATATGAATTTTGTGGATTGTATGCATTGGTATGGGACGGTGGCATACTAGGGACCGACTGATTCAAAATACTCAGTCCTACCTATTTTGGAATAAGGGTGTGAATTATAAAAACAAAATTCTCCTTATATTTAAGTCTGTGCGGTTGAATAAACAGAACGACTTATGTGATCTCTTGTATAAGTCTATGCAGCTGAATAAGCTGAACAATTTATTGGATTTCCTGTGGATGGATATGTATGGATTTTAAATATATTTTTATGGTACCACGAGATGAGCTTGAGTCTTTGGCTCGTTGGTTAGGGTGCGTATATGCAGTAGGATGCGTAGCTGGATATGAGAGTTTGAGGTGTACCCTATTAGGTCTAGGTACTCATGCCCACCTATGGGTGCGTTTTCGCATATTGCCTTCTATTCAGGTTGAGGCCCTCTCCATAGTCCAGTGAGAGTCCTGTAGTGTGAATATACATATCTACGGACTATTTAGTTATTGTTGAGTTGGTTAGAATGTATATGCGTATCGAGTCTCTGCTTGGGTTGTAGTAGTAGGTTAGAACTTGTTCGTGGGCCTAACCCACCTCTATTTTTCAGGTACTTGTCAGTTCCAGACTTAGACTTGATCGTGCTGAATAGAGACTACTACTCACTCTTCCGACGACGTAGGACTTTCCTCCATGGTTTACTCTGGATGTTCTTTAAGTAGCTTCCAGTACAATTTGGATTATTATTAGGGGTCCATTAGAGATGGATTCCCGAGTTGTATTAGAATTGGAGAAATTGGGTGTATCAGACTATTTATTTATTTATAAAATTTTATTCTGAGGTTTCCAGTTTTGGTTTATTATTCTAGTTTCTTTTCAACAATTTATTTAATCCTGTTTTCTTAACTATATTTTGTGTTCGTTTATTACCAATTGATTTGATATCCTCAGGTAATTGGGCGTGGGCCTGGCCAACCCGCATCCGAAAATCCGGGAGTGTTACAAAAAGTGACATCCATGTGATTTCAAATGTCATATTTATCCCTGATTATTTAATTTAATTAATTTACAAAATATCAACTATGTTATTTGATACAACTACCCTTATTATTAAGCCTATTTCGTTACCCTAATCTTTACCTTTCTTAGGAGGGGGGTTCATTTTAGTACCTAGCGGTCGACACTCCCTCTCTCCTCCCTATCTCAGACACGGTTGTTTTTTTTTTTTTTTTTTTTTCGTGTTATGGTGGGTCTGGGTTGGCCATGACTTTTTTTTTCTACTCTAATGGTACTTGTCATGGTTATGATGGTGTCTAAGTTATTAGAGTGTTTCAAAATTTTTAATTTTATTTTTTCTATTGTGGTGGTGGTTGTGGTAATTCTGGTAATGCTTGAGTGTATTGGTGATGGTGTTGTCTTGGTGTAGTGGTGGTTCTGGTGACATTTGGCACATATAAGTATGGGTTGACAACTTGGCCATGGTTGTTGTTGTTTTTTTTTTTTAATACTCTAGTGTTTGGATGTGGTGTGGTTACGGTGATGTACATTTATATGGCTGTTTAAAAATATATATATATATATTATATATATATGTTGTAGTGGTAGTTTTGGTGGTATAAGTATTATTATATATAAACTATATCTATATGTATAAAAGAGATTAAGAGATTCGTTTGATCCATTAAATTTAGTTAGGAAGTAAAATTTGTAATTTAAAATTTAAATGGAGTTGTTGACAAGTTAAAGGGTTAAAAGATAATTTCGTATAGTTTCAGAAGAGGCATGAAGGAGTGTCGATGCACATTTTTGAAAGATTCAAAATTGTCAATGTAAAAAAAATCATTAACAATTCGCTAACTGACATTGACCAAAACTTAAAAGATGTTAATACAATTCACTCTTGACATCACTATTTTAACACTTAAATTTCAGTTTTTAAATTTTCTTTAGTATTTAATTTTCAATTTTATTAGCCACCATCGACTTAAGATGTTAGTCTTTCTAGGAATGGCACATGGGGTATTTGGGACAAAATGATAGCGATTAATGCTTCTCACGAAATTAATGTACATATTTATCCTTTTTAATTTTTTTTTAATCATGGCAAAAAATTAAAATATCCTTTTTTATTCTCCACTGAAGTTAATTCTCGACTTTGGTCTTAAAAAGTTAGACATCACCGGACTTCATTTTCTTTTTGTTGTATATACACACATTAATATACACGTTTTATCTTCTCAAATAAGCATCTTCACATCATATATAATTGGCCAAAGATGATGTGAAGATGTCTTAACAGTTAAAAAAAAGACCCGGTTTCAAGAACACAAAGTTTTTGAAATGTTGAACTTTCTAATTTATGAAAAAATCCTTCAGAAGTCATAGACCTGTTGTAATTAATAATTTCTCACGTCTAGGTCTAGTGGGGACATTCCCTCAGAATTATTTTTTTATTTATTTTTATAATATTAATTATGAATTTTGAGAGATAAGAGCTAATCATGTACAAAGCACAAAACAGTAGTATTACTTATTGTCTTGCAATTTGTTGAATTTTCTCATTTGTCTTTTCGTGAACTATTTTTATTGTGATTGAGTATACTAAAATACTTTAGGTATAAGTCCCTCGTGAATCAAATTCACTCTTACTATTGGATTATAATTTGTTTTGTTTTCTTGTTGTCTTAACCATCTACCATATTTTAATACCCATTTGAGTAAGAATAACTGTAATTAGTGATAATATATCAATATTTATGAATCAAATATAATTAAAAATAATAATAAACCCGCATTTAAAAAAATATCCATTAAATAATAAGCTAAAAGAAGAGTACAAGGTTGTAAAATTGCTAATTTAAAGTCTCAAACTTGATAAACAATAAAAATTTTAAAAAATAAAAATAACAATTAAGTAAACAATAGGATGGGAAAACACCAATGACTAAACCTCGAAAAAGCTACATATTTCATATTTCATATTTTATTCTCGCTGAAACAGAAGTATAAGAAGTGAAGTGTAACTGTGGAAATAATTTATACAATTACGGGCTGAATGGGCAGAGGACCCAAATCGCGGGTCAGCCCAGGAGAAAACCTAACCTAAGAAGAAACCGTCTAACCCCACATCATTAATTTAGAGAATCAGACCCAAATTGGTTTTAGCCCACGTAGCCCAAGAAGTAGATGTCAAGAAAGACAGTTAGAGCAAGAAAGGGAATGAGCTATAAATAGAACGAGGAGAGGAAATAGTAAGGATCTTTTTGAGATGATACTTTGTACCTACAACTACTCTTCTTATGCTGTCCAATATTAGATATTCATATGCAAACACTTGTATATGTGGGCTGAACTCAACCCCTAAACCCAATAGAGGTATGGGCTTAAGGTTTTCAGCCACAGGCTGATAGATTCTAATACTCTTTGGTTTGGGTTGTGATGACTTGGACTCGGCCCAGCCCATTACAAATATGAGGTCCTTCAATGTCAAACAACCCTCTGGAAGTCGTTGTAACTGTCTCCTCTAAATCAACAAACGCATTGAAAGCGAGGCGGATTATGGGGTGAAAGAAAGAGCGGGGATTGAAACCGCTGACCTACCAGCTAACCCAATATGCGCATTTACGAACTCAAATACTCGTCCGTACACATTTGTGTGGCTTTACTTTGATACAAAATTGCAAATAATAAAATATCTCAAAATAGTTTAGTCACAATTCTCAAAACACTTAACTATTAAGGGAGTGAGGGGTATAACAATATCAAACCGAAATGCAACAAAAATAAATTAAGTTTTTCAGATGGAATATATTATATCCTTGATTTAAAGTAAAAATGGGTTAAAAATGAGTACAATCCATTTTATGTATGGAGAATTTTTTCTATTTCTACGCCTCATGCACATGTGGTCCAATAGCGTCTTAAATTTTTAGTTTATTTATTTATTAAAATGCTCCTTAAAAAAATTTATTTTTAGTGTTGTCCCTTGGATTCAATGCGACTCTTTAATATGTATACTGTATAGTGTGTACACACACAAATACAATACACTTTACCGAATTTAAAAAAAAAAAATTCAAAATGTCCCCATAAATTTCTCCCCCTCTATAAATCTCTCTACCTCTTTATTTTAGTTTCTCTTTTTCATTTTTCCTTTTTCTCTCTCCTTTACGTTTTCAATTTTTTCTTTTATCGCTTCAATTTTTTCTTTTTAATTAAATCTTAATTTTCCTCTTCAAAGTTATGCAATAACCTCTCTCTCATCTTATATTCTTTTCAATCTTGTTCTTTATTTCACTACAATTTTATAAATAATTTTTTTAATTTTTTTCTATTATTATTTTTTACAAGATAAGAAGTGTTAAAGGTTAGATTAGTAGATGTAGAGAGTCGAAATTCGACACTCCAAAATCTACGGGAGCTACTGGACTATCGAGACATCTGCACAATTTTACAAACTCAGTGTTCATAATTTACATTTTTGAAATTTTTTACAATATATATATTTAAAATAATGACATAATATTTTAATCTTCATTACTGTTTTACTGCACTATTAATTAGAAAAAATAATTGATCACTGTGATGGCATCTCCAATTGCATCACATATAAAAACTCCTACAACGATGTAATATTCAAAAAATATTTTTATATTGAAGATACAATATTTATACAATATATTATAATATTAAAATATTATTAAATTCGTCACTACATTGTTGATTTAAAATTGCTACAATTATTGCATTATCAATTTAAAAGTAGAACATAAACACAAGTACAAAATGAGGAACATTAATAATTATTTACAAAAATAAATAAATAAATAAATTGAGGAACTTGGGATGATCCTAAGGGTTCGTTGTTGCCCGCACCAAACCCAATCCCTTTCTTCGTCGTCTTTAGGTGCACCTCTTTAATACGGAGTACTCGGTGGTAGAAAAATTGAATCGCTGTCGAGGCCGAAGGCATAGTACGCACCTTAGCGTCTTTTAAAATGAAGCAGCAACAAGAAAGTCTCACTCGCTGACTTCGTCAGTTTCAAAACTCATCACTTCAACTCTCTAATCGTTTTCCTCAATACTCTCTCTCTCAACCTTCAGGAGAAACTTTAGCTTTCAGAGGTTCGTGAAGCAAATTTTATCATATACTTAACTGTTCGTGTTAATGTTTTATGTATTTCTATGTGTGTGTATATATATATATATGTATGTATGTATTTTGTATATGAACACTCGCATGTATACGCACACATATTTTAATTGAATGTACTTGAGAATTGCAACGATCAAATTTGCAGAGGAATGAAAACTTAACTGAGATTGCAAAATCGGTGTTCGATCATTTGATTTATTGAATTTTAAGCTACATTTACTTTAGAATTGTTTTGAAGGTTTAAATTTCTGTTAAAGATGGGGAATAAGCGTGTGATGTTGCCGGCGAGCGAAGTTGACTTGACGGCTGTGAAATATGAGCCTGAAGTGATCAAAGGTATGAAAATTTGATTCCTGATATGTGGCTTTGTGTTTGATGTGATTCTTTATGAGCAATTTGTTCGATTATTACTTGTTTTGAACTGGTGTTGGTGAATTGCAGCTCCTCATTTGACCGGGCTCGCGTTGAAGCTATTTGTTCGCTTAGTTGAGGCTCCGCTAATTGGTTCTTTGATCCTATCATCTTTAAAGAAGCAGAATCAAATGGTTGAGGTCCGATCATGTGCAAATTCTAATTATATTTCTATATATACATACGTACATATGCTTTTTAAATCTGTATTTATGCATATGCAGATTTATATATATATATATATATATATTCTTCCTTTTGTCTTTTATATTTACAAAAAATTAAGTGCAACAGTTGTTTATAATTGACAGATGTTACAGAATACTGTAATTCCAGAGACACCGATGTTTAAACCCGAGTTTCCACCACAAGGTTTATTTCTTGTACTCGTATCTAATGTTTCTTTCTTTCTTTCTTCTTAATTTTTTTCTTAATTCTTATTATTATTATTTTTTATTTTTTATTTTTTATGTTTTATATTATTTTCTTCTTTTATGCTTTGTAAATTTGAAAACTGGAGCTTCATCTTAACTCGTTGAATTGGTGGAAAGTTGGCAGCCTTGGTTATGAAAGAAATGCAATTTTTATGTAGTGGCTGATTCATCTGCCATTGAATAAATTACCTCTATCCTCTGTTGGGTTATGGAATGAGAAGACACGCTATCTGTCTAGTTTTATGGTGTTAAACTATTTGACATAGCTTTTGAAGCTTTCTTCCTCTTAGTCTTGTCAAATTTAGGTCAGGAGTTTCAGAAATCTAGATTAATAATGCAGATTTTTGAAACTCCTAACCTCAATTTAATAAGAAATCTCTATTAGTTGTCATAAGCATTCACTCTGTTGTGCTAATTAAATATAAAAAGTGATTGACCTTGGAGACATCCTTGTAGAGAGAGATTCTGGAAGTAGGATATATATATGGAATCGGGCGTCAAACGTATTGTTTAAACCCATGCTTAATGAAATTGATCATATAGACAAACTTGACCCAGTTAATCTGACATGTGAATCTAGAACCAGAAACTGGTGTTGTTGTTTTGGAAGAAGACGGAAGACCTGAAGACCGGGTCAAAGAAGCCTTGAATTGTCTTCCACATTATGATCCTGCTACCTGTTGGACTGGTGATTCAATTTCATCATTCCGCTACTGGACGATACGTGATTATGCACATGCTTACAGGTCTGGGATTGCTACCCCATCTATGGTGAGTCAATAATAGTTGCTAGGTTTTCTATTCCTTTAAAATTACATTTCCAAAGAAGAATTTGTTCACTTTCAGTAAATAGGTTGCAGAACGCATCATCTCAGTTATGGAGGAGTTCAGCAACAAGAAGCCCCCAACGCCCCTATTGATTTCTTTTGATGCTGAGGGATTAAGAAAGCAAGCTGCAGCTTCCACACAAAGGTTTGAGGAAGGTATTGCTGATAATACATGTGTATTTATATATGATCATTATTATATGTTATCTGATTACCCACATCATTTTCTGAATTTATTTTATGTCGCTGATCTAAATTTAAGTTCTCACTTAATTCTGCAACGGGTGTGGGCTTCGCAGGAAATCCATTATCAATCTTGGATGGGATTTTCATGGCTATCAAGGATGATATAGATTGTTATCCCCATCCATCAAAGGGTAAACTATATTTGACTTTTGATTTCCCTTAAATTTTTTATGCAGTCAGTAAGTAAACTTTACTATTTGATGACAACCAGGCGCAACAACATGGATGCATGAGGTTCGCCCTGTTAAAAAGGATGCAGTCTGTGTATCAAGGTTGCGTAGCTGTGGGGTGATTTTTGTTGGAAAGGCAAATATGCATGAATTGGGCCTTGGAACAACTGGGAATAATTCAAACTACGGGTAAGTTCTCGTGCAGTGACTATATATCCAAGATATAAACGCGGTGTCAGAATTATTTTCTTTCCTTGGGCAAAAATGAAAAATACGTGGTGTCAGAATTTAACAAGCATGGTGGTGGTACAGTGACCACAGCGTTCCATGAATTGAGAAATAATGTCTGCAGTAGCAAGTACACCATCAGTTGACCGTTTCCTCGTCATTGCATACCAGTATGTATGTTGGGGTATCTGACATGGAAAGACATGGCTAAAACGGGAGTTCCCTTGTTGCATTGCTTGGCTGTAATTTCTATTAGACTCACAGAATATGCCTTTAGGTACTTTTGCCATTTTTAGTTTTACTTCCATTTTTGACAATAGGTCCTAGGCATTTGTAAGTACTAGTAATTAATTGGATGCTACATGGCCCATCACTCACTGAACAAGTGAATATACAAACATATTGAAATCTCTCATTTTGTTACCTACCATAACACTAAGCTTACTCTGATTACTTAAATTATCATGTATCTCGCTTCTTATTATTATTTATACGATTTGCATGTTTATCAGTCATAAATGTACCTTTATTATATTTGGTCTTTCAAATGTTTTTAGAATTAATTAAGTGGACCACACAAAGGCAATCCCCTTACTGAACATATTAATTTGGTGCAATCTCTCATTTACTGCATGCTGCTAACTCAATATTCTTCCCCATATATCTTATAATTTTTTTTTTAAATTCTTGAATTATTAGATATTTTGTTTCTAAGTGTCATTGATTTGGTTTACTGGTTGATTCACTTATGCTGATTTTTTATTTCTATTTACTATGAATCAAATATGTTTTAGACGAAATACTATTTCTTAATATAACAAAAACTGTTCGGAAGAAATGGCCAATCATATGCTCTTACCATACTGAATTGTGGATTACCAAAAAAAATGCTTCTATTAACCTTGATTGGATTCACTTCCTGATTATTTGTTTATTTATTTATTTTTTAACTGTTAACTATTGGTCTGGATATAGTTATTCATTGGTCTTGGATTCTTGCTTGTCCTTGCATGTATTTCAAAGATCATTCAGTATGTTTCTCCTTTTCTGTTAAGACACTTGTTTATGGTTTATCTATTTATTTATTTGCTGCTTGCATATTTTCGTTCTCTCTTATAAATTGCTTTGATATGGGAGGTAACATGGGTAACCCATAATGACAGAACAACTAGAAACCCACATTCTCTGGAAAGGTATACAGGTGGATCTTCCTCAGGCCCAGCAGCAATTGTTGCTTCTGGACTATGTTCAGCTGCACTAGGAACAGATGGTGGAGGTTGTATAAATATAACACATTAGGCTTGTAAATGATTATCTCCCATTTTTCAGGATATCATCCTAATTTTTTATCCTTGGTTAATGCAAAAGGCAGGTTCAATTCGCATTCCTTCTTCGCTTTGCGGTGTAGTTGGCTTGAAATCAACATATGGACGGACTGACATGAAAGGGTAATCTATCGAGCTTATATTGTTTAGGATCATGCATTACCTTTATCCTTCTGTCCTTTACACATTAATGTTGGGTTAACTGGTAAGAACAACCGAAATGCCTAGTTACATTCTTGCCTCCATCTATTCGTCTGTGTTTATTAAGGAATGCTTATCTTGTTTATATGTCTACATGTGTGTGTGTCTTTGTACGCTTTTAGGCTTTCAGTTTATGCATATGTTGTTTGTATCTATAGCTTATCATCGTTCATTATGTGGTAAGGGCATACTTCTTATTTCTACATTGACAGTTAAGTTTGTACCTCTGGAAGCATGTCATATGTTGTTGAGTAGGCCATTGTAAGATGCATTTTAATTCTGAAAAATAAATTAGGAAATGTAGAAAATAGTAAAAAAATATTAAATACATAGAAAGTAGTTTCACAAGAAGTAATGTTAGTTTAAACGACAATTCAAGTATCAAATTTCCTTGTCGTGAGATTGACAATTGAGTATTAGGGTATTGTAAAGATATCGTTATGGAATTGACATTCCATTCCACTCTATTGATTTAACAAGAATTGGAGAGAATAGTCATTTGAACTTCAAAGGTTTCCAATGGTTCGTCACTTTGTGAAAATGCAACAACTTTGTGCAAAAATTGCATAAGGTAATTCATACCTGTCTACAGCGCCCTTGCTGTAAAAATAAAATATGTGATGTGCAGTTGCAATGTTCTCCAGTGTAATTGTCTCTAGTAACTACACAACTATTACAACATCTAAAATTGAAGAAGGATTTATATATTTAAGTTACACCCTCTGTAACTGTTTAAGCTTTTGGAGTAGATGGTAGTTAAAATGGTATCAGAGCCAAAGGTCTCGAGTTCAAACCTCACCGTCACCCTAATTAAAAAAATTGAAAAACACGTGTTGGACCAAAAGAAGACGACACGTGAGGGGGCGTGTTGAAGGATTTATATATTTAAGTTACACCCTCTCTAACAGCTTAAGCTTTTAGAGTAGATGGGTAGTTAACAATATCCATGCTCCTGCTATTGTTGAGGCCATCAACTGACTGTTAGTTTATAAAATACTAATAAAGAGATATTTTGCCAAAGACCGGTCTACCTTTGTCTTGGTTGCTTTGGGTAACTCCCAAGCTAGAGGTCAAGGTTTCGACACTGGTAGAGAGAAGGAAAAAAGAAGAAGATATTTTGTAAAAGAAAAAAAAGAAATCAAGAATATACATTCTCATTAATATTTCTTTCTAAGTAAATGTTTTATTTAATCTACCTATAATTAATTAATTATTTAATCTTTATCAATATAAATTTGTGACACTTTCAAAATATGATTATGTTTTAAATTTTTCTTAGAAATTGCCAAAACAATCCAAGTGTGGACTTGTCATAGTATTATAGATTGTCCGAGGTGTATCGCTTGTGTGTCGTAGGATAAGGTTAAGATGGGATACAAATCTAGGCTACACACCAAGAAGTATCCAATTGTTATAAAACTAGGTTCAAAAACTTGACTTCAGCACAGACAATCTAAGTTGCTTGTTTGCTGGTCGGTGAAATCACAAAAAACATGGTTGCAAACTATGCTACTTATCAAACTGAAATCCGCTAGGGCTACATAACAAAGGCTGGCATGTATGGTGAGAAAATTGTAAAATTAGATTGTTAGGCTTTGTTGGTACATCATTAACGGTGGGTTTGCATACTGAGATAAAGTTGAGATATGCATCAAAATGATCCTTCAAACTCTTATTATCAAACTAGGGATGGTAAGTGACCTAGATTATAACATTTAAGTTGGCTAATTATTAGCTTAGATGGTCTTATATACCACTGGCTGACCTAGGTATTTGGAAATATATCTGGACTGTAGAAATAGATCCTTATGTTTGGACCGAGCCATAAATCAAAGCTGCCTTTTTGAAAGACCGGAGGAGTTATACGCCCATAGTTCAGAAAGTTGATACTTTGTTGGACAATTTTTAAGAGCTAGTTGGTCGTCACACCTTAAAATACTGCACCATATATTTTCATCAATTTGATTGGCATATCTTTTGGTAATATGAGTATTTGGCTTTTATAAGAATAGTTCATCAAATTTATATAACTGTATATGAATCATATGATCAGTATGTCATTTTTTCCATGCTTGTGTGAATTAATACAGAAGCATCATTTATACTGTTAGGGTAATATTCATGTAATACAGTAATTGTAGCTTGACAATCATTCTTGTTAGTATTGCAATTCGTCGATGCAACTATAGAAGCCAAGGATATGCATCATATCGAAGTTAAGAATTTCATTAATGGCGAGGATATACTTCTACCATAGTTACTCAGGTATAAAATAATAAAAGGTTTATGATCAAGCTATACCGGTTGTAAGCTTGAGTTATATATCCTTCCATTCCCAAAACGAGAGCTGCACAGTTCAGGTCCCGATCGGGATATGGTTGCATGTAACAACAACGACAACAAAATGTCACAATCAGTAATCTAATACTACCAGTGATTTTCTATTGTATAAAGAATAGTGTACTCTCTTTTATTTGGATGTACCAGTAAGACTACCTTTAGCTTTATTCATTCTTCATCAAGCTCATTTCATTTTTTATCCTTTTCTATGAAACAAATCAGTTTCTGATTTAACCAAAAAAAAAAAAAAAAATCAGTTTCTGATTAATTTCTGTATGTAGCTATAACTAAAAGAATGAGGATTGTTATTTTGTTTCATTTAAGCTTGCGATTTCTTTGTAAAGGGGCTTTATCATGCTGGATTATGTCACTTCTAATGTTTGGACTTCATGTTCTTGCAGGTCATTATGTGAATCAGGAACTGTGGAAATTATTGGACCAATCGCATCAACAGTTGAGGATGTCATGCTTGTGTAAGTGATTTATGCAGTCTGAATTGTCATCCTTTGTAAAGCTTGGTCCCACAACTAATAACTAATTTCATTCTGTTTGATGATAGTAATCTGAATCTCTGAGATGTAGTAATGGGCCAACTTTTACAGTTTTGAGGATCAAAATTTATTTTTCTTTTCCATGTAAATGGCTGAAACATTTTTGTTTCCCAGTATACCAAAATAAAACATGGTTGAAAAACAAAATTCACTTCAAAAATACAGAAAACTGAATTCTTGGATTTGGCAGCTTATAATTTTATGAAAATACTGGGGCTGAAGGATTAAAATCCAAAAAATAAAGAAGAAGGTATCTTTGACTTTTCTGAGAAATAGTGGATAAAAAAAGTAGAGGAAAAGAGATGCAGGAGAAGGGTTTATTGTAGTACTTGGATGCTAATTTTAATAGCCTATTTCCTATTTGTTTTACTTGGGTTGTTATTTTACATATAAACTGCATTAAAATTTATATTTCATTTACATTGCATGGCATGCCCATTGTGTCAGTGTCATATTTAATTAATTTATTTAAATAGTTTATGAGAAAATTAGCTTTAGAATCTTTTATAAATGTTGTAATATAATGCTCAAATTTATAAGTGTGAGGTCGGTGATCTGATTCAAAGAGCAGTCAGTTTGTGTAAAATAATGCAAAATGTTTGGTATATCTCCATTTTTCCCCTCTAAGCACCCCGTATAGGCAAAATATTGTACATATGATAAACATCACTATATTATGTAAACTAAGGGCGACGGCGTGTTTATCTTGTTTCCAAGGGTATCAGGCGTACATGTCAACTTTTTAGAGGTCATACCAATGAGTCCAAAGTTAAGGTTTCTACCAGTAGAGTTCACTGCTCCCTGGTGAGCAAGGAGCAGTATACTCACTTTTAATTGTAGCCTTAGGATCAAGTCAATCAGCCTTTCTTTTCATTGATTTGTAAAACTTACCGATTTTTTCTATTACCCCAAAGCCAGATGTATTACATAAGTCTTGAATAAGTGAACTTGAGACCCATAGATTTATTTATTTTATTTAAAAAAACTCTAAAAAGCTGCATTGTTGGGGCTGGAGCAAAAAAATAACACAATCAGAATAAGATAAAAAGAATATTAATCCTTTAATCGTAGGATCGATCCACTAATTTATTAAAAACCTCAAATGTTAATGTAAGAGGAAAGAAACAAATTCTCAATTTATTAGCGAAGTAATAATAATGGTGAATCTATATATATATATATATTTTTATGCAAGGTTAACTTGAGTAATTACAACCTTTCAAAAAAAAAAAAAATTCAGTAATTACCATCTAAGACTACATTAATCAATATATTATCCTTTTGAGGACTCAAATTGATTATTATATTCATTTGAAAAATAAATTTGTGTGAAGTGTATTCACATTATTGATTCTTAGATTTTTGTTTCCTTTAAGAAAGTGTCTACTTTTGTAGTTTCACTTTAATGGTATTTGATGATAATAGAAAAAATCGGTAAGTTTCCAAAAACAGTGAAAAGAAAGGCTGATTAAATAATTTCTGTCTGATTTGATCCTAAGACTACAATTAAAAGGAGTATGTCAGTCCCTGCTCACCAGGGAGCAAACACTACTGAGGTTTCTACATATCAAGTAATATCAAATTGTGACTATTTTAATCGGTGATATAGCAGCGGTTCTCGAGCCAAATTATGTGGTCAACAGTATCTATACACTGTACAAACAGTCTATACAACTGAATTGGAAGCCATTGTTTGACCTTCTGATCTTACTCGTTGCTGAAGTGGTTTGGAGTTCGGACAGATGGGAGAAATAAAAAGGGAGAGAAAAGAAGTAAAAAAAGAAAAGAAAGAAGAGAAGGAGAAAGACGGGAGACCAAAGAGGGGTGTGTGTGCGTGTGTGAGAAAGAGATGGGGAGAACAGATTGAGTCAATCTTACATGGGCTGATTCTCTAAAATACATGTTGATTTTAGTTACAATAACCACCTCTATTTATAGGTGAATCGGGGAAGACTTGTAATAAAGGAATTACACAGAAAGTCAAATATAAATATGGCAACAACTTGTTGCCCAAGCATAACAACATTAACATTATGTCAATGAGTGATTTAAGGGTTTAAATCACTCCTATAATTATTCTCCAACAATACAAAACACTGTTAGTCACAAATTACTGAACTACCCATACAACTTATAGTCTATGCACATGCTTGACTCTTAATAGTGATGTAACAAACAATATAGTTCATTATATTTTTCTTTTTTTAATAAGTAATACACAACCTCATGTCCAAATTGGGACTTGGACCCTGCAACATCCCCTTTAGGGGTAGAAGGAGATAGCACTAAAGATTTTAATTCCTTTCTAGTGCCAAGTGTATGATATTCTTCCACTTTTGAAGTTTGAGATGTGGCCTTGATAATGATGAACCACTTTATCCTAAAATTAATGAACATAAACTAATAGAATGTTGAGTTCTCCTCGATTTTTTTCTTATTTATTGATCATTTCCTCAGGTATGCAGCAATCTTGGGCTCCTCTCCTGCTGAAAAAATCTGTTTGAAACCGGTACTTACTTCAACAATAATATATGTATTGAAAAGTGGTTGAAAAAAAAAACATATAAATTTGGTACTTTCCTTTCTTTCCCATGAAAGAGATGAGTTCAAAAGTAAAAATATTAGGAAAAAGGCTGGTGGGGAACTTTGTTAATGTCAGTGGCACTACTGTTATAAATCTGTAATCATCATTTTTTTTTAAAATTTTTTTTTCAATAAGTATCTTTAATCATCATTAGCATTTTACCTTAACAAATATGGTGACATATACCCTCTTGAGTAATGTTATACTCTTTATCTTGAAACAATTGTTCATTTAACAGTCATAGAGCTATTAGTCCTTGTTTTTATTCATCCAGATTCTGCTATGCATGATTGTTTTACCTCTAATGGTTTGTTCGGAGCACCTACTTAGCATGATGCTAGTTTATTATTATTTTATTATTATACTTATACTGGATGTGTTTGAGTTACTAAATCAGGAATGCTGAAATTTGGAATTTTATCAGCTAAACTGTTTGGCTGTATTCAGCTTGTTATATATTTTATTATTTATCACTGACCACATTTTCCTTTTAGTCTTCCCCTTGTCTGCCAAATTTAGCTGCACAGGAGAGTTCAAATGCTTTGGGATCATTGCGATTAGGAAAGTATACAGAGGTGATCATGCTCTCCTTTCATTGCAGAATGATTAATGTCATTATTCTTGGATATTATTTTACGAGTATATGACATTTTCGTGCAGTGGTTTAATGATGTATTCTCAACTGATATCTCCAATAAATGTGAGGATGTTCTTAATATGCTATCAGAAAGGCATGGGTGCAAAGTAAGTCCATCCCCCTTATTGTGTGCTTAATTATTGTTTGTACCAGCTGACTTCTTTTTGTTTATAGTTTAGAAGAAATTATGGCATTTTTCAGGATATAGCACATACACATAAATAATGGGTTCTAAATTAACTGTTTTCACTTTTTATGGTTCAAGATGATAGAGATTGTAATACCAGAACTGCGTGAGATGCGGACGGCTCATATAGTTTCAATTGGTTCTGAATCACTATGCTCAATGACTCCTGATTGTGAGGATGGGTATATTTTTCTTTTTACCATTTCAGGGTGGTGTGCATGCTTGATATGTTTTATGATCTGCTATAATTGAATATGTTCTATATAACAAGTTAATGTCATCTACTTCGGTTGAGTATGCTCTATTTAATAAGTTACAACCCTGTGGGTTTTTATTGTTCTTCAAGGATCATAACTTAATCTGGATGAAATGACTGGTTATTTTTTCTTTTTGGTTGTGCAGGAAAAATGTAGAACTTACATACGACACTCGCACCAATCTGGCACTATTTCGGTCATTCACGGCTTCAGATTATGTTGCTGCCCAGTGTCTTAGGTGAGGCAAAATCTTGTCAGTAATGAAGTCGTGTTTTGTTTTTGCTTCAGACAGATTGTATATGTATAGAGAAAAGACAGTTTATATTTAGATACAAAGCATTAAGAATTCAAATGAAGCTATGTACTCTATAGTTGAGAGTACTTATAAACATACAAGTTTGTTGATCACTCAATATGTTAATGGATTCTTTTGGTTGGCTGTGTGGACAATGGTTGAGCTGTCTGAAGTTGGGTATCAGCACTTTCCAGTTTTAAATCTTCAAGTTGTGCAACGCTTTCTGTTGTACGTGTTAACTCTTTCCCACCTTTTTCTTCCTAAATATTTAGGAAGAATGCTGGATCGGAGAACTAATAAGCTGATGGAATATATTATTTTGGATAGAATTAGGATAACACGATCTCTGTAGCTAACCTCTAATAGTTAGGGTGAGGCTCAGATGATAATGATGACAACATAAAACTTCTGAAGCTTGTCCATAATGTAGAGTTCATTTTATCAGTGTGCCAAACAGCCTTGTTTCCTGTATCATGCTACATCCAACTCATTCATGCACTTAATATTGCATACAGCTTTGCTAGAATACTCTGCTTAGTATTGTCATCTTCTGTTCAAGATCCTTGGCGACTGTGTCATTTTTTTAAAATTTTATTTTTGTAATTAAAACATACAAGATATTTTTGACATATTATAAAATTTGCATGGAGTGAATATTTCAATTTCATATCTACTGTCGCAGGCGAAGGATAATGTACTACCACATGGAGATTTTCAGGAAGGTTGATGTCATAGTGACCCCAACAACCGGGTATGATAAGCCCAACTATTGGTTTATAAACAGTGACATGGAAGTAAAGTAGATGTGTTTACAATCCATTCTAAACGCTGCTTATGTTAATATCTGCCTGTGTCTTTTGAGATTTTTTTTTCTATTATTTATGGATATCCCAATTTGTGTGTGTACGTGTCTCCTGTTTCGGGACTGCGTATATTACGTCTCTATTTTCTTTTTTCTTTTTTTCAAATCCTTTTCATTTTAATTGCTATATAATATGAGGGTGGGCCTTGGTGCAATGGAAAGCTTGTTCCATTGTGACTAGAGGTCACGGGTTCAGAACTAGAAACAGCCTCTTCTGATGTGAATGTTCGGCCTATGTACATCTGACCCTGCCCCAACCTGGCAATGGCATAAGCCTTGTGCACTACGCTACCTTTTTTTTTTTTTTCCTCTTATATATAAATATGTAATTTTCATCAGTAAGAATTATTTTTATTAATTTCAGAACTTTATTAATGGTGTGTTTGGTATGAGCAAAACGAATTTTTAAAATCCTTCCACTTCTCTCAACCAACCAAAGGAAAGTTTCTCTTCCCTTTTTTATGTTCTTTTCTCCTCTTACAAACAAGATAACAGAGTTTTAAAAATCATTCCACGTTCTTCCTTTCTCTTGCCTTCCTTTTCTTTTCTTTCTCCTTTCCTTTTTTCTTCTGTTATTTTTCTGTTATGGTCCTTTCTTTTTACTTTTATTTTCTCCATCCAAACGTAATGATAATCTCTCTATAAATAATGTTCTTTCCCTTTTGTCAGCATGACGGCGCCTGTAATACCTCCTAGTGCTCTTAAATTTGGGGAGACAAATATGCAGGTTACAGGTGAGTTGGTTGCCATTCTTCACTTGCTCTTTGAGAAAGTAATCCCTTTAAATCTCGTGAGAAGATCACTGGTCACGATCGTGACACATGAACTGTAGAAAATGGAATATCTTTCTGCTTAATAGGGACTTGTTCTGATAATAAGGCCACTAATTCTCATTCTGTTCTACTCCATATTGGCTATTAGCTAAACATGCAACTGTCATACTTGGGTTGTTTAATGCTCCCTCAGTCCCATAATAGTTGTCCATCTTTCCTTTTTGGGTTGTCCCAAAATACTTGTCCACTTACTAAGTTTAAACAACATATTTCACATCTTTCCATAAAAGACCCTTAAATTTTAAAAAATTTCAAACTTGATTATATATATATTTAAACTTGGAAGGGTAGCTTTGTAATTTTTGAGGGGACAATGCAATAATTACATGTCCCCTTAAAAAGTTCTACTCCCCATAAGGGACATCTAATATGCGGAGGGAGTAAAATGTTAGATAAGCCGATCACAGGTGCTTCTAGTTGAACTCATTGCCATGGGCTTCTAGTCTTTGTAATGTGATAGGCCTGTCTTTTTCTTGTGCTATTTGAACTTGGTGGCTGCCTATAGTAATGTCCATTTACTGGTAATTATTATCGTGTGTGTCTATTATTTGGATGGAGTTTGCCAGTCACATGCACAAGGCAGATGACCTTTTATCATTGGTATTCACATACAGTATAATTTCTTTAAAAAGTTTGTGATATGTAGAACTTTTAGCCTTGTGTACAATACTAAATATACCTTAAAAAGGTTTTATATGTGTAACTTTTTAGCCTTGTGTACAATACAAAATATCCGTTAAAATATGTGGATCACTTGGAGAATGTGGTAAACAGCACTTGTCATACTAAACCTGTTCAGTATCATGGTTCGCTTTAATACGAGAAGTTGTCTTATCTACTATTGTCTTCTTTCTTTTTTTTTTCTTCGAACATGGTTATTAATATTAAACAAAAGGTTGCAGAATTAGAGTATGTTCCAGACCCACTCCAAAGACCAGGAAAAAAAAAAAAAAAAGATAGCGGGTGATTTATTGCCTTGCACATATTCTTTGAGAATTGTTAGAGGATTTAAACATTAAAGTTACAACCTCTAATAGCTTAAGCTTTTAGAACAGATGGCTGTTAACATGTTATTAGAGCAGCCAAGGTCTTGAATTCAAACCCCGCCATCATCCTGATAATTAAAATTGAAAACATGTGTTGGTCCAAAAGAAAGCCACACGCCCGTGTTCGAGGATTTAATTATTACAGTTACACCCTCTTTAACAGTTTAAGCTTTTAGAGTAGATGGTTGTTAACAAGAATAAAAAATAAAAATAAATACAAACTACTAGTGCATACATGATAACCTCTTGGTTCTTGTAATTAGTATTGCCAACATGTGGTGGATCAAATCCAATAGTGATGAGTTTCAGTACATGAATATCCACCCTGCAATTGTTTATGACAAGAATTGCCCTTTTTTTTTTTTTTTTTTTAAATAATATTCAATGCTGTACTATGTTGAAATTCTGAAATTGAATCCATTTAAGAATTAAGTGTGGTCTCTTTTTATTTCAAAAGCATTTGTGGAACTTTTTTAATGCAATTTATTTTCTGCCTCCTGTTATTGGAGAGGCTCGTCTGTTTCGCAGCACTAACTTCTTTATCAATATTTGTGCTTGTATCCTTATTTCAGGTAATCTCATGCGGTTTATTATAGCACCAAATCTTCTCGGACTCCCAGCCATTTCTGTCCCAGTGAGTATTATGCATTTTCTTTTCAATAAAGCAGTCAACAAGGTTAAATTTGGCTGATGGTATAAAAGGCGGACCCAAGGGGGTCCCCTTTTTACAAACTATGTTTGTGCCCTTTGTTTTTTTTTCCTCATCGTCAATTAGTTCCAAGACTTGCTTCCTTAATCTTCTCTTTGGCGAGTAAGAAATATAATCTAACATCAGAAGTAAATATAAAGTGAATTTCGGTTATTTTATTTTATTTTTAAAAATGTTTAGGATAAATATGCTGGTGAACCAAAGTTGTTATCTCAGTTGCTCTCCATAATATACTAATATGGTATATCTGAACATTTTTTAACCTGCTCTAACAAATTCCTACTCTGAAAGCTGGAATGGCATCAAGAGTTGCCAGCTAGTGACAACTATGTTACATTTCTCACACCATACATATGAAAAACTTGGCTTTGTCATAATCAGTGCAAAAATGGTGTTTTGAGAATAATTTTTTTTTCCTAAGAGTTTTGAATATGTTTCCTACTCCTATTTTACAGTTTAAATCTTACTAACTCGTACTGGAGCCTAGAGTTATCTCGTTCCTCTTTTATGTTGCTGTGCTACGCAACTCTACATACTTTGTAATATTTATGACAGTTTAGGTCCAATGTTTTCTTTGTCTAATTATATCAAAGTAAAGGTTCAGGCATGAATTGGAACTCTTTGGAAGCCTTCATATTTTTACAGTTCTGCTATCTTTTTGTTCTTTTTGCTTCAACATATTCAATGTTCAGGTTGGCTACGATAAGCAAGGACTTCCAATAGGTTTACAACTGATAGGACGACCATGGGCTGAAGCTTCAATTTTGCGTTTGGCTGCTGCAGTAGAGGTAATTGTTCTAGTTTCACCCACAAAGAGGCAAATAAGGGGGCATAGTGTATAGGGCTTCAAACTAAAGGTGAACCAAGCAACTCAAGAACCACTCGAGCTTGGCTCATGTTCAGAGCCAGGCTCAAACCTCAACAATGAGTTCGCTTATAAAACGAACCAGGCTTGAGCAATGGTATACTTGGCTCTTTAGGTTTGTGAATACATCCTGAAAAGGTTTTGTACATGATAAAAGAATTTTTAAAATGATGTGTCATGAGCTCACGAGCCAAGCAACTCGTAAACACAACTAAATTGACTCTAGTTTTCAGTAATTTGAACTTGTCATGTCTGCATGAACAAGTCAAGCTTGAGTTTTCTTGAGCTCGGTTCAGTTCAATCCATTTGCACCCTAATGATCTGTAAAGGAGGGGGGCTGATGTTTAACAGTTTGCCTTTCAGGAACTCTGTGCAAGCCCTAAAAAGAGGCCAGCGTCATTTTATGATACTTTGAAGGTGTAAGCAGTTGGGGTTCACTCATCGCTGTTCATGGTTTATTCACTGAAGAATCCCTCCACAAAATCTTTGAAAGTGTTCGACATTGCTCACATTATGTCTGTCTTAAATCTATTTACGTTTGAGCAACACGGTTAGTTATTGCTATGGCTTGAAACAATGGTTCTTGTCATACTTTCAAATTTAGGGTAAAAGTGAAATTGGCAATAGTTTCTTAAATAATACAATCCAACTCAATGAAGTATTATCCCAATTATTTGGTGTCAATTACCTAGTTCTTGTTAAAATTCAAAGTACTTGAAAGTAGCAAAATCACGAAAAGCAACTATCAATAGAGACAAGGCCAAAAGAGAGGTGTAAGTGTGATAAATGATATTTCAATTTGTGATGTTTGTGCATCGTATGAGACCTCCTTTTCTGCTTAAATCATTTTAAACCTTTGAAAAATGCTAAATTCATTTTAAATATCATATTGAAAAATGCTAAATTCATTTTGATTAAAATTTAGTTAAATGATTGACAAGGTAAAAAAAAAAAAAAAAAAAAAAAAGGGTTTGATGGGTGACATGTCATAAATAAATCGTTTTGGCACCAAATTGTTATCATTATATATAAAGGTCTCAAAGATACTCTCATGCAGTGAATAATAATAATAATAATAATAATCTAAGCCAGAGGCATAACCACAAAACGTTGCCGGGAATACAATTAGATCCCGAATTGAAGAAGTTATAGCTCACTCTGATAACTGTAAGAGTAGCTCCATTAGTTCATCTTATAGCGATTTTGGGCCAAAAATGGAGATCAGCTGTTGAAATGTGGGTCACAATTTTTGGATCTCCAAACAGGTTGCCAAAAAGGGCGACCATGTTCGCTATTGAAGGCTCACTTCTGTGGGGCCACATATGTTTTTTTTTTCTTTTTTTAATTCTGGCCCAAGTTACTATTTTATCCCAGAACACTGTTTGTAAGGCCATGTGTGGCTGAAATAAAAGCTAAAAATTAAAATTTTTGGTTATTTTGGTCTTTTCATATCTTCTTCTTCTTCGTTTTTTTTTTTTTTTTTTTTTTCCTCAAAATAATTGAACCAAAGAGCCGTTAAGGTACTGTTTAGGCTACACAAATAGTGCTTTAAAGGCTTTTTTGGGCAAAAAAAAGTTTTAAAGAATTGAAAAAAAGTTATTTTTTTTTCCTTTACAAAATTATCAATGTTCCTATCAACATTATAGCCGTTTTAGGTATTATTTGGCTGAACCAAACAGTGCCTTAACCGGCTATATTGGCTAACCAAACAATTTTTTTTATTGGTTTTCCCTAACAAATTGAAATTTAATTTAAAATATGATTTTTTTTTAATTAAAAAAAATGTGTCTTTGTTTTCACCTCTATAAATTAATAAATCAAATGATATTAAATATTGCATTGTTTATAAGATTTCATACATATTGGCTAAATAATTTAATCAACAAACAATTTAATTATTTATTTCAAAATAAAACATTACACAATTAATATTCCATTACATAACCTTTATAACAATTTAAAAATAAAATAATGTAATATAAATTAAACACTTTCTTCACCAAAGCGGTTCCACAAATTTTCAATTAAATCTTTCTTCAACCGCATATTTGTCCCTTTGTTGCGAATTTAGACTTGGCGAGAGTAGATATGTGCCGCTAAAACTGATGGATTTTGAATTAAAGTGGGAATTGAGATTGTCTCCTTTGGTGGCAGAGTCCATTTTCTAACATTGGCATGACACTCATCTTCAATGATCATGTTGTGAAGGATGATGCATGTTTTCATTATAAGGTACAAGTCTCCTTTATCCCAAAAACGCATTGGTCCTTGCGTTATTGCCTACTTGATCTGCACGACTCTAAAAGCTTGTTCCACGTCTTTCCTATAGGCCTCTTGTCTCTGAGTAAAAAGTTTTTCTTTTACTGTAGTTGAGTGCGTGATGGTCTGTATTAAAGTTGCTCACTTAGGGTATATACCATCAGATAGGTAATACACCATTCTATGGTAATGACTATTCACAACGAAATTAACCGGAGGAATTTTGCCAGCAACGATACTGTCAAATACCGGAGAATGATCCAGCACATTAATATCATTGTGTGAGCCCGGCATTCAAAAGAATGCATGCCAGATCCACAAATCTTTTGAGGCATTCGCCAATATGAGCATAGGCGTGTGAGAGCGTCTTTTGTGCGTGCCGTGCCACGCCACTGAACAATTCTTACACTCTCAGTGCATATAGTCGATAGAACCAAGCATACCTGAGAATCTTCTCTCCTCCCCTTCTCGAAGTAGTCGTGCTATGTCGGCTTCGTTGGGTGGGCGTATGTACTCTTCCCTATACACACCAATAACATCCTTACAAAATATCATCAAGGTTTCAATGACAGTGCTTTCGTCGATTTTAATATATTCGTCACAATGATCGATTGCACAACCATATACGAGTAAACATATTGCAGTTGTCATCTTTTGTATAAAAGACAACCCCAAACGACCTGTTGCATCCCTTTTTTGGATGAAGTAGTCGTCATAAGCTTTAACATCATTTAGGATACGAAGAAATTGTTCTCGTCGCATCCTGAATCATCTATGAAAGTACTCCGGTGGATATGTGCAATTCTCGCCAAAGTAGTCTTTCATTAGTTGACGGTGGCTTCCCTCTCGATCACGATAAATGTACTGCCTCTTACGCGGTTTAAAAACTTGCTTTACTATATTTGGGTTCACTCAATTCAAAATTGAACGAAAGACATCTTGATTATGTTGAACCATCGCGTCAAAAGGGTTATCTGATAAAGAGGATGATGAAGAAGATGATGAATTAGAGCCTGACAAAGGAAAAAATCGTGATGAGAAAGCCATTGGAATTTTGAGATTGAAGGAGATGTGAATTGACATTTTGCTAGAATAAGTTAAGATGAATGTAATGATGATGAGATGAACAAATGGTTGTTTATATAAGATAAAAAATATAGCCGTTAGAAATATCACTATTAGGAAAAAGTTAAAAATAAAATTTATTAAAAATTTAAAAAATATTAAAATATTAATATTTTTGGAGAGCGAAAATGCACAATTGGAGTACATGCAGGGGTAGAGCCAGAAATTTTAGGTTTAGGGGGCCGGATTTATACTATGTAACTAAAGTTTAATTTTTTTATAAATCAATTGTAATATTATTTTTTATAAAACTAGTTGTAGTATATATACTTTGAGAAAATTCAAAAATACAACTTAATAATAGATGAAAAATTGAAATTAGAAAGGAAAATATAGAGAAAAAATGATGAATTACAATTTAAAAGAGAAGATGTACATAAATAAGTATTGTCAGAGAATCAAATTTTCTTCATTTGTTTCAGTTTTTCAAAATCTAATTTTTTGAAAAAAAATTTAGAATACTTTGATTTTACTTGGGAAAGATCGATATATCTAGATGAAAGATTAGAAAATAATAATAAATTTTAACTAATTAAAATAATTTTTAAACTAAACAAGATATAAATAAAGATTGTTATATATTTCTAGATATTTTTCTTGTAGATATCATTGCACAAAAATGTTTGACAAAAAATGCTTGAAGCTTTTTTATTAAACATGATGAAACATTAATGAATTTTATCCCTTTTTTTTCTCCCTTGAATTAATATGATAGATATTGTACTTGTGCATATGTAAATAAATTAACAATGTGTTACAATAACAACTATAATAATAATAATGAGTTTCTTCACAATATTCGAGCTTTTAAAAGCATAGTTAAAAGCGTTTAAGTAATTTTTTTTTTTAAATTTCAAGAAGACACATACAAAATTTATTTTCAAACTCTCTATTTTGGGGCTAATTTTCAAACTCTCTATTTTGGGTAAATATGTAATTGTTTTGAAAAATTTGAGGGGGCCAATTGAAATTTTTAATGATTTTTAGGGGTTATATATATAAATTAGTTAATATTTAGAGCATAATAATAAAAAATTTCAAAAAGTTTTGGGGGGGGGGGGGGGCCATGGCCTTTGCTGCCCCCTCTAGCTCCGCCCCTGAGTACATGCGATAGCTAAAATTTAAAAATTCTAAAACAATGACGTTACTATGAAAAATGCTGATCAACGTGGCTATTGAAAAATGCTGATGCAGCAAATTCGAAAAGCCTAATTCTAAAGAGCCCATTGGAGATGCTCTAAGCACTTATTGAATTTATTTATTTATTTATTTTTACTATACTAATTTTAGCCCAATAAAATATATATAGTATTAGCTCACCCCAATATTAGTCCACTCAATCAAACCCAAGTCAACTCAGCCACCATACTAAAACAGAGGCCCAAGCCAAATAAGAGTCTTAACCCACATGTCACAACCTAAAGTATTTACTTATAGCCATATAATTCCTTATTAGACTAGGATTATTTCCAACAATTTCCTTATTATGATAGGTCTCCTAATCTAAGTTGGTTTCCTCATAATTCCTTATTGGACTAGGATTTTTTTAGGTATCTCCTAATCTAAGTTGGTTTCCTCATAATTCCTTATTGGACTAGGATTATTTCCAACCTAAAAAAAGATTAAAAGGGGAAAAAGGCAAATAAAGATAATAACAAATAATATATATACCATAACACCAATGTCAATTACACTTATGTAGTAAATAATTATATATGTCAACCAAATAGCCAATTACCTCGTATAACCTATAATTACTTGGTTACCTGATATCAACTTATTAGTAAAGCAAACATAAAATCAGTATTAATAAAATAAAAAAAAGTAAGAAAGGAAATAAAAAGTTGAATTTAGGTGAGGTAGCACACACTCATTTTACACCAATAGATTATCAGTTCTACCGGAGCATTGGCTTGGAGGCTCCATTCTAACCGAATATTTCTCATTGGTTATTTATATATAATACATGTAAGTAAATGGTCCACCCTTTTATTTACCCTATTTGTTGTAGTGAATGACTAGATCTATATTTTTTAATTTGTCCATTTAGCATAAATAAAAAAATAAGGCCCTCCACTTATGTACATAAATAACTAATCAAAAATATTCGATTCAATATTATAAAAAATAATTGCTTTCTGACCAAGCACAATAGTCGTATAAATACTCCCTCTGTACCAATGACAAAGGAACCTAAAAAAGGACAACACCCAGACAACCACCGATTATTTTACCCATATATCTACATACAGAACCAATGTCCACCCATCTACGACTACAAAAACCCATACCTCCTCTTCTACACTAATAATCCTCCAACAACCACAAACACATAAGACACCACTGACCCACACTCCAATTATCAGCGCACACAAATCCTATCTCATAGTTTGATACAATATAGAAGTTGGGAATCTGTGAGAGGCTACCCAACAATTTCATTCAAATAAAAGAAGTACAAAAGGTATTTTTTTTTTCCCGATCCTCTGCTTAAATTTTTTTTTTATCCTACAATGGACTCATTTATTTATATGATTTTATTTGTATCCTTCTAAGCTGTAGTTCTTAAGGGTTATCAAATAAATGGTATTAAAAAAAACCATCTTTTATGAAATAAGATTATGTTTTCGTAAATGCTAATAAAATATGTTTTGGTTTATGGGTTTTTCTTAAAAATCATCTATATAAAATAAAATCAGTTTTTACTTACTTTATTATTATTTCTATTACTAATAATATTATTTTTGCACCATTTCAGTTTTATATTATTATTTTCTTCAAAGTGTAAAACTATGATCACACTAAAAATTATAGTTTCTGTTGGCTTTCTTGGAAATCATGTCACTCTATTCCAGGCTTTTCTCTTATGATTAACTAAGCCAAAAGTTAGATTTTCCATAAAACTATCCATGTTATTTTAGTTCCATGAATCTTTTAGGAGTACCTTTTCAGATAAAGATAAAGATCAGACTACTAAAATCATGTTTTTATTTAGCAATCATATATTTTTGTAAAAAAATAATATTCTTAAAATAAAAGTTTACTAAAATCATATATTTTTCAAAAGAGTAATATTTATTTAACATCAAATATTTCTATAAGACATAATTCTTAGAATAACGCTTTTTCTAAAAAGTTTATTCTTCTTAGAAGAAGGTAAGCTTTCCCTTGAAGCAGACTTTCTTAAATTGCAAGGTTTCCATAAAAACATTTTAAAAATACAAATTCATGATATAAAAGTTTCGTTATCAACATTTTTCCTAGTTCTTAAGTTCAGTATTTCAATAAACTTAAAATTTCATAGACTTAAACTTAAATGGATGTCAAATAAATAATTCTTAAATATCATGTTTAGTCCTTAGACCTTCTTAAGGCGACCAGACCAAACACACTGAAATCCTATGTTAGGAGGTGACTCCAAAATAAATTATAATTGGCTATAGCCACTCCATGTATTAAGCCATTTTTCTGACCCCTTAGTGTTTAACATAACCCTTAGAGAGGGCCGAAATTATAATTGGCTATAGCCACTCTGTCATATTAAGCCATTTTTCTGATCCCTTAGTGTCGTATTAAGCCATTTTTCTGACCCCTTAGTGTTTAACATAACCCTTAGAGAGGGCCCAAATTATAATTGGCTATAGCCACTCTATCGTATTAAGCCATTTTTCTGACCCCTTAGTGTTTAACATAATCCTTCGAGAGGGCTGGGGAAAATTCGCACGCACATGACATTGCACTTTCAATAAGAATTTGTTCTAAAATTTAAAGTCAATTTAGAGTGTAAACACCTTCTAAATTTGCCAAAAACTTAGATTCAGATTAATTGTTTGAATTCTAATTGTATAAAATCTGGACATTGATTATTTTACCATTCCTAATTGTATAAGAGGACATTGATTATTTACCATTTTATCGAACTTATTTTGAAATTTTTTGTTGGAGGTCTAAACAACGAATTTAAATTATTTTGATTTTTGATATCAAATATTTTTTTTAGTTATTGGGTGTCTTATTTTATTTTTTGGGTAATTTGTATAAATAATTGAATTTTGAGTTAATATATCCATCCACGTACACTCTCAATCTTATAATCTCAAAGTCTCAACCCACAAGTCACAACCTAAAGTATTTACTTATAGCCATAATTCCTTATTGGACTAGGATTATTTCCAATAAGGAAATAGGTTTCCTAGTCTAAGTTAGTTTGCTCATACCATTATTTATATGCGATGTAGAGCAAGAAAATTAATCTATCCGTAACAATTTTTTGTTCTCTTGGATCAGTTACTCACTCCCTTTATATACTCTTATCAGAAAAATAGAGATGGGTTCGGGGAGCAATGTGGAAGCTGTTTATATGATACGTGAGAATGTGAGCAGTCCCAGTCCGTTCGTTTACGACATATACAAGATCCCTGTGCCTGTGGATGATGAATCTTGTCAACCAATGTCATCATCATCATTAAAAACCCCAGTTCTGAGCTTGTCAAAGGATGAATACCCGTCGGGAATGGGGTTTTTCTCGGTGGGAAGTAAAATATTCATGATTGGAGGTGAAATATACAAGGATTATTGGACCACATTAAACAAGGATGTGTATATTTACGACACTTGCACTTGCGTTGTTGAAAAGTCCCCATCAGCTGGTATGCAAGTTGGCAAGATATATCCTCGTGCAATGGGTCCTCTCCATGGAAAATTTTATGTGTCGAGTCATAAGCTGTCCGATTTCGAGCTGTATGACCCTCAATTGCAATCATGGTCTCTGCTTCCGCGTCCCCCTGTTCCTTCTGCAGACCATTCCCGCACTGGTTTTCATATAGTTCAACATGCAATTGTTGACCATAACATCCTCATATCAACATCAACAGGACATGTTTACGTCTTTGATTCTATCGCACAAGTATGGTCAAAACTAGAGCCTGATGTTGTAAATGGTGGTGGATATATTTTGCGTTTGCCTTTCATTGGTGAGGGTGGGGCTGAGTTTGTAGATGATGGTGTATGGCTTGCATTAGTGTCTCGGGATTATGGTTCCGGCCGTTTCCCTCTTTATTTTTTCGGTTTTGATGCTTCCAACAACCAATTCGTGCGCGGTTCTAAAGTCGGAAATCTGCCTCCAGTACCGCCTGCTCTCATGCGGTTCGACATCGCCACCTTTGTGGTTGGTTTGGGTAATAATCGCTTTTTAATTCTTCGGTCGGGCGTGGACCACGATCCCTTTGCCTTCGAGTATGGATGTAGTCCCAACCATCATGTTATTATCAATGTGTTCCGTCTTCAAGCCGTGGGTGCAGTGGGTGGCCTTTTTTCTGCAATTGATAAACATTCTTTGTCACACATCATGAATGACCGACCTCCACTCTTTGGTGAATTAAGGGACATACGTGCTTGCTTGCCCGTCTCCTCACCCGTGCTTCAAACCTAAGATATATTTTTAATGGACTTTATGCACGGCTATTTATAATCCGTGTCTAATTTATATTTATAGCGTAAGGTTGCATTTAATGTTGGAAATAGTGACATAGTTATACACACAACACTATACTATTTGGAAGAGAATAGAAATGGAAGAAAATACTTTTTATTTCACTTGATCTATTATTTGACTAGAGTACATGAATATATAGGCCTCACATATGTATGTGTAACCATTACATTTAAATGTCCATAACTCTCCTATCTCCCACTAACATAATCTTCAATATGCATAACTCCCACTAACATAGTATTTGTTAGGCTTAACTCTCATGACTCTTTATTTTACATAACCTTAACTCCCACTAAGACAATTTGCTACTCACTAACATGCTAAATTAACACACGCATCATGGATACAAAAATACTTGAAAGTACTAAATACTAAAATCAAGTTTATTTTCAACACTTAAAGCCACAAATTTCTTGTTCTACCCGAGAAATAGCTGGATAAATTCCACAACGTAGGGACTACTTTGAATGCCTGGGAATTTTTGTTATAAATTTTTTGCTTTGTGCTATATCTGCTTTTTAAAGTACTGAATCAACATATTGTTTACTTGCTTATTCACGTACATTATATTAAAATTTATCTTAAGAAAACAAAACTAATTTTAGCTCCCCATGCCCAGGCTAAAATAAACAGACAATTCATCAATACTTTCACATCATATATATTTGGCAAACCAGATTTCAATTTCTTTTGTGGTCTACTCTGAATGGGGAAGTGATCATAAATTAGAAAGATACATATAGTAATTTTTAAGTGTCGGTACTTGCTGTTACACATTCAGAGTGATGTGATTATTGATTGGTGGTGGACATTGTTGAGATCATTTATATGATCTGTGATGGCATGCACCAACACTTGAATGTCCTTCGTTTCACCACTTGCACCACCACGGGTGGAAGTGCCACGACTAGATTTGCTTCCTCCGGTAGCGACAGGAGTTGGTCTTCCTCTTCTAGGGCTCTACAATTCAACATAATAAAATCAATACAAGTAACAACAATTTGTCATCATTTTATGATTCTTACCATTACCGTGCATGAATTTTCTTTTCTATTTTTATTAAAAAAAATCTTCGTATCCAACATATTTTACCAACCCCATATCTAGCCTAATGTGATAGGGCGTGGCACTTTTAATAACTCTGCAATGAGATTTTTTTTCTAAATTTAAAGAAAATAAAATTCACCATGTTAATTAGGGTGTAAGCACTTTTTAAATTTGCCAAGAATTGGATTCAGATTGTTTGGCTGAATTCTAATTATACAAGATCTAGACAAGAAATTCATAGCAAAGTTGGAAAATTTGGCTGAATTATGTGTGAATATATAAACTATAAACACCTTTATACTAAAATAAATATATATATATAGACACACACGGACGGAGCCAACAACTAAAATTTTAATACAAATAGGTATATAATTTATAAAATTCATTGTGCCCCTTCTAAATATTTTTTTCTTTCTAAAACACCCCTTCGTATGTAATTTATAAGTTAATTACTTTATGCTCCCCTGCAATAAATTCCTGGCTCCTTCTCTATAAAAACAATTTTGCGTTTGGCTGCTGCAGTAGAGGTAATTGTTCTAGTTTCACCCACTAAGAGGCAAATAAGGGGGCATAGTGTATAGGGCTTCAAACTAAAGGTGAACCAAGCAACTCAAGCACCACTTGAGCTTGGCTCATGTTCAGAGCTAGGCTCAAACCTCAACAATGAGTTCGCTTATAAAACGAACCAGGCTGAAGCAATGGTATACTCGACTCTTTAGGTTTCTGAATACATACTGAATAGGTTTCGTACATGATAAAAGAATTCTTAAAATGATCTCTCATGAGCTCACGGGCCAAGCAACTCATGAACACAACTAAATTAACTCAAGTTTTCAGTAATTTGAACTCGTAATGCCTGCATATGAACACGTCAAAGCTTGAGTTGTCTTGAGCTCGGTTCGGTTCAATCCATTTGAACCCTAGTGATGTGTATAAGAGTTGGGGCTGATGTTTAACACTTTGCCTTTCAGGAACTCTGCGCAAGCCCTAAAAAGAGGCCTGCATCATTTTATGATACTTTGAAGGTGTAAGCAGCCGAGGTTCACTCATCGCCGTTTATGGTTTATTCACTGCGGAATTCCTCCACAAAATCTTTGAAAGTGTCCGACGTTGCTCACATTATAAGGTTTGATGGGTGACATATCATAAATAAATCATTTTGGCATGAAATTGTTATCATTATATATAAAGGTCTCAAAGATGCTCTCATGCAGTGACTAATACAGTGAATAATAATAATCTAAGCCAGAGGCATAACCAAGAAATGTTGCCGGGAGTACAATTAGATCCTGAATTGAAGAAAGGGTCTCGCGCCATAAACTAGTTATAGATCACTCTAAAAACTCTAAGAGCAGCTCCATTAGTGCTTCTTATAGCAATTTTGGCCAAAAAATTGGAGACCAGCTGCTCCATTGGACTAGCTGAAATGTGGGCCACAATTTTTGGATCTCCAAACAGGTCACCAAAAAGGGCGACCATGTTAGCGATTGAAGGCTCACTTCTGCTGACCCACCTAGGGATGGCCACGGATCGGATCGGATTAGGATTCATTTCCAACGGATTAGAAATTTTTTTAATCTACCACCGATCTGCTATCCCACGGATCGAATCGGATCCGTGTAATAACGGATTGGATCAGATTGAATCCACGGATTCAGTTTTATATAAATTCTCTATTATTATTATTATTATTATTATTATTATTATTATTTTATAAGTAATATTATGTATTATTTATTTATCTTTTAACCCTAACCCAATATATAAAATTTTAATTTACTAATATTAATTCATATATTTAAATAATTATTAACTAATACATCCTTAAAATACATTAAATTATCATTAACTAATTAAATTAACTAATATATTTTTTGAAAATATATATATAAATTTCACAGATCGGATCAGATCGAACTCATGGATCAGATCAGATTTTTAACAGCACAATCCGTAAGATATGGATTTAATTTTTTTGAATTCGCCACCGATCCGTGGGTGTAGCAATCTGATCCGATCCGCACGGATCGAACCAGATCAGATTGATACACCCACGGATCGGTGGCGAATTCAAAAAAATTAAATTGGATCGGATTCGCGAATTTACGGATTATTTGCCTACCCCTAGGCCCGCCTATGTTTTCTTTTCTTTTTCTTTTTTTCTTTTTTTTTTTTTTTTAAAAAAAAAAATTCCTGGCCCAAGTTATTTTAGCCTAGAACAATGTTTGTAAGGCTATGTTTCACTGAAATAAATGCTAAAAATAAGATTTTTTGGTTATTTTGGTCTTTTTTTTTTTTCACTAAAAATAATTGAACCAATGGGTCGTCAAGGCACTGTTTGGCTAACACAAACAGTGCCTTAAAGACATTTTTGGGCAAAAAAAAAAGTTTTAAAAAATTGAAAAAAAGTGATTTTATTTCCTTTTCAAAATTTTCAATGTTCCTATTAACATTATAGCCATTTTAGGTATTGTTTGGCTGACCCAAATAGTGCCTTAACGGCTATATTGGCTAATCAAATAAATTTTTTTATTTGTTTTCCCTAACAAATTGAAATTTATTTTAAAATATGATTTTTTTATTAAAAAAATGTGTCTTTGTTTTCACCTCCATAAATTAACAAACCAAACAATATTAGATATTGCATTGTTTACAAGATTAATATTTCATACATATTGGCAAAATAATTTAATCAACTAACAATTTAATTATTTATTTCAAAATAAAACATTACACAATAAAATTTTCATTACATAAACTTCATAACAATTTAAAAATAAAATAATGCAACATAAATTAAACACTTTCATCACCAAAGCGGTTCCACAAATTTTCAATTAAATCTTTCCTCAACCGTGTATTTCTCTCTTTTGTTGCGAATTTGGACTTGGCGAAAGTAGATATGTGCCGCTAAAACCGAAGGTTTTTGAATTAAAGTGGAAATCGAGATTGTCGATCTCCTCCGGTGGCAGAGTCCATCTTCCAACATTAGCATGACGCTCATCTTCAATGATCATGTTGTGAAAGATGATGCACGTTTTCATTATAAGGCACAAGTCCCCTTTAACCCAAAAACGCATTGGTCCTTGCATTATTGCCCACTTGATCTACAAGACTCTAAAAACTTGTTCCACATTTTTCCTACAGGCCTCTTGTCTCTGAGCAAAAGGTTTTTCTTTTGCTGTAGTTGGGTGCGGGATGGTCTGCATCAAAGTTGCCTATTTAGGGTATATACCATCATATAAGTAATACCCCATTCTATGGTAATAGCCATTCATAACGAAATTAATCGGAGGAATTTTGCCAGTAACGATACTGTCGAATACCAGAGAATGATCCAGCACATTAATATCATTGTGTGAACCCAGCATTCCAAATAATGTATGCCAGATGCACAAATCTTTTGAGGCAACCGCCTACAATATGAGCGTAAGCGTATATGAAAGCGTTCTTTGTGTGTGCCGTGCCGTGCCGTACCAATTCTTCCACTCCTAATGCATACAGTTGATAGAACCAAGTATACTCGGGAATCTTCTTTCCTCCCCTTCTCGAAGTAGTCGTGCCATGTCAGCTTCGTTGGGTGGGCGCATGTACTCTTTCCTATACATACCAATAACAGCCTTACAAAATGTCATCAGGATTTCAATGACAGTGTTCTCACCGATTTTATTATACTCATCACAATAATCGGTTGCATAACTATATGCGAGTATACGTATTGCAGTTGTCATATTTTGTATAGAAGACAACCCCAAATGACCTGTTGCATCCCCTTTTTTGGATGAAATAGTCGTCATAACCTTTAATATCATTTATGATATGAAGAAATAGTTCTAGTTGCATCCTGAATCGTCTGTGAAAGTACTCCGATGGATATGTGCAATTCTCGCCAAAGTAGTCTTTTATTAGTTAATGGTGGCTTCCGTCTCGATCACGATGAATGTACTGCCTCTTATACGGTTTAAAAACTTGCTTTACTATAATGGGTTCACTGAATTCAAAATCGAACGAAAGGTGTCTTGATTATGTTGAATCATCGTGTCAAAAGGGTTATATGATGAAGAGGATGATGAAGAAGATGAAGAATTAGAGCCTGATAAAAGAAAAAATAGTGATAAGGAAGCCATTGGAATTTTGAGATTAAGGAGATGTGAATTGATATTTTGCTAGAAAAAGTTGAGATGAATATACTGATGATGTGATGAACAAATGGTTGTTTATGTATGATGAAAAATATAACCTTATAAATATAGCCGTTAGAAATATAACTGTTAGAAAAAAGTTAAAAAATAAAATTTATTAAAAATTTAAAAAATATTAAAATATTAATATTTTAGGAAAACGAAAATACACTATTGGAATACATGCAGGGCAGAGCCAGAAATTTTAGGTTAGGGGGGGCCAGATTTGCACTCGGAAAAAGAACGAGGCTCGTTCGAAGGGATGGGATGTTTCTAAGAGTGGTTGCCCCTCTCCGTAAATGATTATCTCCTACAAAATAAAGAAGATCATCTAGAGCCAATGATTTCATTTCCTACAGGATCAACAGCCCTTTGTGTATGTATGTATGTGTGTGTGTGTGTGTGTGTATATTTGTTTGTGTGTGCGCGCGCTCGCGCTGGAATGGTGCATCTCCAATCCTTCTTCTTCCATCATCATCATCATCATCAATCATCATTATAAGACGCTGTGATGATATATGTTCTGAGTGGATCATACTGGCATTGAGAATTGGATCCGCTTGTTGGCGGGGCAAACCAGAGGGTCTGTGGGAGAGAGATTTGGTTCTTCTCTCACAGGCAACTGTTGTTGCAGCCATGGCGGCGGGATATACTCTTGCCCTGATCAAAAGCAGATGAGCCTCACCATTTTTCCTTATATGCATTTATGCATGTATATATGTGGTATACATTTTGATTTGTAAGGTTTCGTTAAAAGGGTCTTTTACTCTTTGTATGCATCGATGGAATTTCTTTAGTTTGGTAATGGAAGTAATGTAACACTTCATAGACCCCAATCACGGACCCATGTGCCATTTGAAAAAGTATACAATATTCTGGGTATTTACGGGTGGTACCATGTCAAACGAAAGAAAACTTTCTATTTTCTTTGATTAAAGAAAAACAAGGAATTTTCATTGAAATGGTACCGCATGTCAGGTAGTGTATCGTATACTTTCTTGCCAACTGCCCATTTCACATCATATCTGTAATTGCTCCAAGAACAAGAGACAGAACATGGGTCGGATCAATTCCTTGATATGGGTCCCTGAAAAGTGTGATTTGCCTTGGATCAACCCGTTAATGTCTGACGATGAATAAGAGAATTTGGATTTGTTAACTTTTTGGCCTCTTGTTTATATATTCTTGGGGTTGCAGATTTGGGCGCAAAGAAGTGGAAGAGCGTGCTTGGTTTGGAGTTTACCATCCAAAATTTAATGTTACAGTTGCCTATATTGCTCGCCAAATACCAGTAAGATTTTCACGGAAAATTTGTCTCACAATTAATTATTGTTATTGTGGATTATATTTATTTTATTTATCTGAATTTAACAAATGGTGTATATGATTTATGTAGACAGTATGTTCTTGTTTTGGTCAAATATTTGGGTTTGGGTTAGTTTTGTCACATTTCTGGTAAAAAAAATGTAACTTTATTCATTTGAAGCAAAAAAAATATTATAATGGAGTTAATTAGGGTAATTTGCCCTAGAATTAATGTTCTTGTGGATTATATTTAATTTATATATGTGAATGTTAGAAATGGGTAGAGTAGATGAATTATGTAGATATTATTTTTTCTTTTTTCCTGATCGTATGTACTACAGTACTAGAAACATGTCCATGCATTCACTTCCTCTTTATAGAGTTCACACAGGTTGATCCGTGAAAGGATAAAAAGGGAAAGAATGGTAGAAATGAGAAATTAGACTGTTCTCACCTTATTATGATGATGTTATATGTATGTCCCCAACTCAAATGTTGGTGCATGAGATGCTTTGCATACCGTGGCCTTCTTTGTATATTTAAAATGTTGCATTTTCAATTTCAGAATTTCTTCTTGTGTTTTTTTGTTAGGTGGTGGTACGTACCGCTATAAAATTCCCAAAGGAGACACCTCTTGTATTTTATGGTGGCAAATGGAACCAAAATGGTAGTTGCTTGTTCGATGAGCTCCTTGAGGAACTCCGGGTACGAACTGGTCCTAGGCCTCCTTACCGAGTGTCCATCTTCGTAACAGCATTGGTCCCGGCTATTCTTGATACCAGAATTGTTCAGCAGTTGAACTCAATTTTTCTTATGGATTTGAATGGCTTTATTTAGACAAAGTTCACCATTAGAGTACAATGGTGGAAATTAGCAGGTGTTGGTTTCGTATTTTTCTGGCCAGTGGGTGTTGTAGCCACTGGTGGGGAATTTGATAAAGGTAGCTGGAAATCTCAACCCATTTTGTATAAAGCTATGATTGTTTGTTTCTCTTGAACTGGATAGTTTGATACTCTTTACTATTATCATTAACATTAATGCTTGATCCAAATGGGTTGGTTTTTGTAAAAATAAGTTGACAAGTCAAATTAATTCTATTCCAAGATCCCCAAAATGACACAGGCGGAAATAAATTACTTATGATTAATCCTTTGGATAGATATGTTGATAAGCAAAATAATTTTTTGTAAATTCAAATAATTAGTTATGTATGAAAATTTTATGAATCTAATCCAAATTTACTATTAATAATTAATTTCATTCATTTATCACTCTCTCTGGCTGGTATTAGGAAAAATGACAATTATACATGTATAAGTGAACCAAGTGCACCAAAGTAAAAGTAATGAAAATATTATATATTGGTAGAATAGCATATATTGACGACCTGAAGCTTGTACTATATAATATATACAGTAATGGAGAATCTGGAGTGAAGTCGCTTATGTCTAAAAGAATTGGAGGAGTCAACTTAAGCTCAAACGGCCGACATGATTGATATTATTACCGGTTGGCGTATTCTATCATTATTTAAAGCCTTTGAGAGGATGGAGCACCAAAACAAACCAATCGCAAGCTATAAGAATTACTGACACAGTGCTACCCATAGGCATTAGTTCAGAACATACAACTTCTTCCTTCTAAAAGAGAAGGGAAGGACCTCCCGCCACCGGAAGAATTTGGTGTCATGTACAAAAGAGAATCCTCTGTGGTGCCAAGAGTAGACCACCCCATCTGTAAGACCAGAGCGCTGAAGAAGACGTGAATCGTCATTGTACTCGCTATTTCCTACTCGAGCAGCTGGTAAATAGGAGAGCACAAAATCAGATATGAGGCGGCTTTCCACCGGTGGCCTATTCCCCACCAAAGAATAGGCACCTTCTGATCGTGACCTGTATTATTAGTTAGTTCATTCGGAAACATACTACTACTAACAACCATCATCCAACAGCACCACTCAACTATTATAAGGAACAAGTTGAATAGTGTTACTGAAACTTCAACCAATTTGGAACATCAATTTAGAAAGAATCTGTACTTTTTACAAGAACACACAAGCATTACTACATCCAAGACTACTACCACCACCAGTCTATACCAGAGAGAGAGAGAGAAACTACAACAAATTCATATCAAAAATAAAGTTGTTTGCACTGTGCAACCGAAGCCTCAAGAGGACAGTATGGACATTTGAACGTGCGCGTGCTGCCCTTTGACAATTTCATGATTGATTGCTTGCAAAGGACATGCCCACATGGCATTAGCATTGGTGGATTCTCCTCACTGGCTTGCTCCCTACTTACCGGGCAGACAAATATTGAATGGAACTGGAATTCCTTACCCAAATCAACTGGCACCGGCAACTGTTTCATTGCTTGCCACTCCTGCTTCTTTGCAGCCATGACATTCGCAAGCTTTAAGAGGGTAGGCAACCCTTCAACACCTGCTGCTAGTGCCACACTTAATGGGCTCTCGTATGACTGCCCCAAGAAACTGCAGAACTGCTGGGTCAGCTCCTCGCCCAACTTTTCCCAATGGGATGGAGCCATTAGCTCAGCATATGGGGATCTATCAAGTTTTCCTGCCCATAACAGGCTGCACATAAGCTTCTGGAATTCATCCATGTACTCAGAAGCAAAAGGAGCAAGGTAAGTTCTGGCGTAGGTAAGAGCATCAGTTTGGCCTGTTTTCTTAAGAATCTCCACAAACTGCAGTCGGTGAAGTTTCAGCTCAAGATTTGAACCAATCTGCTTCAGTTGTTCACGGTTTGTAGAGACCCAGTTCAGAGCAGGCACAAGGTCTTTAGTCCTCATAGCTTCTAGTATCTGATGCATTTCTTCAAATTGACATTTTAGGGAGATGGTCTCTGATTCCCCAGCCTCATTAATCAAACAGTCTGCAACATCAAAGAGACCTTCGCGGTAAAAATGGCTTGCAATGATCTGATTCACAACGTGGAGGTCAAAGTCAACATTTCTGTATGCCTTGGATATGTCGGGATTGAAAATCTTCTCAAAGATTTTTACGTACTTGCTTAGGCTTGTGTTCAGGTCCTTCTGTGATGACTCTAGCTGGTGTTGCGGGTTAAGCATTTCGACCTTGGTTTTAAGTTCTGTGAGGATGGATTTCTGATCAACATGAGAGGTGAACTCATGAACTGACTGGATGTCAGCCAATGCCTTTTCAAGTTCATGGCCAACTTGGGAGATTACTTCTAGGGATGTAGAATTCGATAATTTTTGCTTCTTAGTAACTCGATCAAAAGCATCTTTGATGGTATTCATCTCCATTTGCGAGTAAAATTGATTGCTCCTGCAAGAAAGTGACAAAAAATTTTCATGACCTGAAGGAAAAAGAGATAAAAAATGGGAAGTAAACAGCTACTTCTGACATGAAGTTCCAGTCAAATGTGATAAGCTTTAGCTCAGAAGGCCTGCAAAAGTGCTGCAGTGATACACATAAAGGAAAAAACTGTAAGACTCCAACATAAAGTCTCCTTTAAACTGTAGTAAGCAACAGCCAAAAGAAAAAGAAAAAAAAAACCCCACTATATAAATGACAGTATGACACTGGCCTCCACAACTCCAATCTACTCTCCCACATCATATTGTACTTCTTGATACCATCCATCCATGAATTTAAAGATAGAGAAACTACCCAAGGCATATCAAATTTCTCCAAGAATAATGACTAAATCTCAAGCAGGAACACAAATGACCAGACTGTCATTCCTATCAAGTGTTACAAAGCATACAACCAGAGAAAATATCCTACCAAAGTCAACTCTCAAAACCTTTATGCACATGGATGACTGCATAGAGAAGACCACTATAGAAGATTGGCGATTCCCTCATAAATTTTGTTGTGAGTTGTTCCCTAGTGTATCTATCAAAGATAGGAAGAATGACTACATCTTGAATAAACCAAGTCTATCCAACACCCATCATCTTACATCATCAATTACATAGCCCAACCTCGCATTGTATGGGCTATTTAAAAATACTCTTAAATATCTACTGCCCGATTTGAATGTTTCTATAAAATGAGGGCAACCACACAATGCAATTAGTGATTAATGCAGGACAAGAATAGAGAAGAACTTCCCTACTAGCTTTATACCAGATTGATGCAAAATATCACCAAAAATTAAAAAGCTTATAATGATGCAGCATACAATTACGATGAGCTAAGTCAAGGAAAACTTCTAAGTTCAGTTTTTAAAAGGTAGGAGAAAATTTTGCAAGACTAATGCATTTAAAAGGGAATTGTCTTGCATTTCAAACTGACAGGATTTTGGATATTTTTAGAATTTACATTGACAGAAATTTGGGATAAAACTCTTTTGTGGTTTAGGTGTTAAATTAGAAGGCCAGAGAGTGGAAAAAAAGGTTATGTTTATGGAAAAAAAAGTGTGGCTGTAGAATAGAAATGAAACAGCTATAGCTCCTATATGTACTAGTGGGAAGATCATAGCAAAGAAGTGGAGAAGAACAAAAACAATAAACCTCACTTTTGTGAAAGACTGATGGAAAAAGGTATCATACCCTGACGATTATAATTAATGAAAAAGTGATCAAGTTTGCAAGGGAAAAGATTTTGTTTCACACTTCCAAAAAGACCACAATTTTTTTCAAAAGTGGCTTGAGGCAAAGGACTGTACCTGGCAATGGAATCCATCTCAATCCATATTTTGAGTTGGGGGTTTTCAGGACTTAAGACTGTGCACAGAAGGAATTGTCTCTACTAATAAAAGTAAGAAGCTATATTTTAAATTAGGGGCTTTCAGTTTTCATTGAAGTACTAAATCTGCGCGCAGAAGGAATCGTCCCTATTAAAATAATAATATCATACTGCACAGAAGAAGTAGAAGAAAGGAATTGTCTCTATTACGAAAACAAAGTCAGATCACATAAGAAGAGTTAGAAACGTAAGATCCCATATGCTCGCACCGTATGGGTAGGCTCATCATGATAGAAATCTTACCTAAAATTCGTTAAAACTCTCCTAAAGGCAGGTTCCATCACAAATCACACGATTTAAATTCCCTAAAACTCAATTTCATCATAACAAAAAGATTAAATAGAAACTTTTAGGCAATTGTAGTTCTCTTACTTTTACATGAACTAAAACTCTTATTATAAGAACTTCGACCCAAAATAGCATATGGAATGTTGCTAAAACCCATGTCCAGAAAATATAAATATCTTGATTCCTACAACCTAATAAGATGGAAATAGAATTATACAATCATTATATTGACCTAAAACTGATAACAAATGACTCAACCCAAAACGTGGTTACACAATGCCCCAGGCATGCTCCATATGAAATTCCTAATTCGTTTCTTTTCTTGTTACCATGCCCTAGATATTAGCTCACTGAAGCTTTTTTTTTTTTTTTTTTTTGCCACTGCTATGCTACAAATATCAAACAAAAGAGGTTAAGCAGCACCAAGATCGTACAAAACCATGATACTCATCAAAAAAAAAAAAAAAAGATCGTATAAAACCATGATGTCAATTCATTTCCAACTACAACTGAATCCCACGGGTGCAAAAGAATGATCACATTTCAAAATAGATTCCTAAAGACCCTACGGATGGGGGAAGGCTATCTTATACGTATCAAACCACTACTATTAACCATATTTTGCTATAGTGTAAACAATGAGACCCCAGGGATCCTCCATATTTTGCTGTAGTGTAAACATAGAAACCCCAGGGATCTAACAGACCTGAGTTATAACTTATAAGCCTCCGATTCTTCTCAGTTCACACTTCTTATTCCAACCGACCAGGAAATACTTACATTCTCATCTATCCCGGCCTACATTAAAAATCTTAAGAATATTCCTGTCTTAATGTTCTTGGCACCTAAAGATGGATTTGGCAACAGTTGTATGATAGCTCATTAACTTTTGGCTCCCAACAAACTCGTCAAAACTCTAGCATTATCATCTTTGAAAGTGACAAATCATAGACTTCAATTCAGATTAAATTTTAGACTGTTCACAACCACTGCTAATCAGGAAATTCTGCTGATTCAAACCTCTGACTGGCAACACCAGTCAGTTTTTTTTTTTTTGGTGGGGTGGGGGGTTACAGTACCTTACGGGGTTCCTTTGAATGGTATGGACATGTTATCTTCCAATCAAATGGTAATACCAAAAATGCTAATAAGCATGATATAGAGTTAATATTACTTCAAAATAATCTGGCACACTCATTTATCAATTGTAACATCCCCTAAGCATGAAATTTTGGCCAACAAAAATGCTCAAGCAGTACCATTTGAGGTTTCTAAACTTGCAATTGTTAAATGGTTTCAGCATTACATCTAGAAAGTGGGACTTTTACTTAAAACAAGCCACAAAGATAATTGAAGATAGTAACAGAGTAGTTGGAAACGTCAAAGGCTATCCGGTAAATAAACAATTTCCAAACCATATGACAATCATGTAATTATTTCATTATAACAAGCGGATCAAACATTTTTTATTAGAACTTACTCAAGATGTAAAAGGTTGACAGAAGCTCTATGGAAATATTATGGCAGTTAAATTTGCGAACCACTCAGTCATACAACATAAAATTTTATTCAGGAAGCTTCAGACACTGCCAACCATGACAAAGATCCAAGTCTGTAGCTCATTTCACATCAATAGACATATATATTAAATAACAACATATTCCTTACGCTTTTGAAAACAAAGTGAAACATCAATTCACCAAGTTTGGACGAATGCCAAGATTAATATGTAGCCAAAACTTAAATCCCATCACAATTCACAAAGGATTAAAATTATAGCCAAAACGAAAGGTCGCTAATATATGTAGCATGCATACCAAGAAAAAAATAAAATTAAAGAAAAGAAAATGAAAAACCTGTTCGCTTAATTGAATTATAATTTCATTGTTTAGAAACTGAAACATTAGAAACAATATCATTCAAATTTGTTATTTTCTATTCTTTTTCTGTGTTTTCCCAGCAAACAAACAGAGGTAGAGAAAGAAAAGAACACGAGAAGTAAGAAACTGGAAATTGGCGATCTGAAATTGAACAAGAAATACTCAATCGAACCCTAATTACAGTAGTTCAAATATTGAAATCGATATATATAGATATCTAACAAGAATTAATTTAAAATGAGAAATTGAGGACATAATTAGAAACAGAAATATGAAGAACACAACAAGAAAGGTCGTGAAGATTTGAGAGCATACCGAAATCAGATTGATGGTTGGGCAAGGACGACGATCTCTGAGAGAGATCTTAGAGAAAGAGAAGCAGTTCGACTGTAGAGAGAGAGAGAGAGAGAGAAAAGCGTGTGTCTTCGGAGAAAGAAAATGAGAGATCCCTTGGTTGCGTATGACACACGTGTGAAATATTATATCTTGCTGTGCTAATCTACTAGTGTTAAGACAAATCAGATACCGCAAGCAAATGAGGCTAATTTATATTCTCAAAAAAAATGAAAATATAAATATAGAAAAAAAAAAAAAAGAAAAGAAAAAAGAAGCTATTTATGGCAATTTTATAAGGCCAATTGATGAAAAAAAATGTTTTATAAAATTTTCAGGTGGTAAAAGATAAAGTTTGAATGGGGCTGGTTTTAAATGAGCTCATGCTTAAATTAGCTCCCTATTATTACATGTAAGGAAAGGATTAATTAATTTGTTAATTTATTAGTACCAGTAAGGTCAAGTACTGATACGTAGTATCTTATCCATCTACGTATCATATCTATCTTTTAAAATGAGAAGTAAAAATTTAAGTTCCAAAAATAAAAATAAAAATGTACTGATACTAGTAAGAAATAAATAATTTATGTTTACATTATTTCCTAAAAAAAATAAAATAGAGCTTAAGTTTGGTAGGTGAAAAACCATGGTTGCGTGCAACAAAGAGGAAGGATGAAAAGAGGAATGAGATAGAGACATCCTTCATATGCCACCATTTTCTCCATTCAAAAGTGAGAGGAGAAAATTGAATATTTCTAGGATAAAATTTTCACTCATTTTATTTGCTGAAAATAAAATGTTTGATTTATTTTCTTTCTCATGTTTGCAAAAGCTTTTTATCTTTTCTTGCACAAGAAATCCCGATACTTTTCAAGAATAATTTGTTGCTGATTTTTATGATCATTTCGTTTGTCATGGTGTTATCCAAATTTTTTCATAAAAAGCAAATTGACTTGAACAGAATATATGTTTAAGCGAGCGTAAAAGAAAGTAGAATAAAATATGAATACCATGAAAATTCGTTTTATTTTGTATATAATATTCAACTTTTAAGAGACTGAAAGGCTTCAATAAATATATATACATTTGAATTACTTAAATTTACTTGAATTTTCATTCTTTCCTCCCCCATCATTTGGAGTCGATGCGCAGCAAACCCATGAGCAATAGTATTATTAATTTATTATGCAGGCACCGTGACAAGCTAAACCCTATTTCACCAAACATATGAGCATCACACACACACACAACACATTGCAATACAAAAAGCAAAAAAGTACAGAGATTTTTTATTATTCTTTCTTTAGTATATATCAATTAGATACACTATTTTATCAGATTGAATAACAGCAAAGTGGTGAGGAAATTCTCTCTTCCTCGTATGGTGTAACTGAAGCAAAGAAGAATACAAGGAGCTCTGAGCATAAGAGCCTCCAATTAGAGACACTTTTCTATCTGAACAACAACAACAACAGCAACAACAACATGGTGACTAAGTTAATCTCTTTTTCGAGCTGGAAAAATGAAATAATTGAAGCAAAAAGAAATCTAAAGACTAGGAGCTAGGAGAACAAGAGCCTCCAATTAGACGCGCCTGCTTTATCCGGGGAAAAACAGTAACGTGGTTGAGAAAGTTCTCTCTTCTTCCAAGCTGAAAAATGGCGTGTTTGAAGGAAAAAATAATCTTATTAAAATATTTACTTCCGAGTCTGTTCTATCTTGGCTCGGATCTTCTGCTCTAACACAGATATCTCTGTCTCTAGTCCAAATATTCTGTTAAGAGCATGCATATTCTCCAGTATTTCATTCAGAGTCCGGCTGTCAGTCCCATCACATTTCAGGTGCTGCATTGGACCGTGAAGGAGCTTGTTCACTATACCCGCACTAAGATCATAAACCGCTGCCTTGTTCTTCTTTGAGATATCATCACCCATCTTTGATAAACACTTGTCCAGCTCTGAAGCCCTAATTCTTTCAGCATATGCTCTAAGCTTCTTGATAGTTGGAACAGTCTTGAGGGAATCCTTCCACCCTTCAAATTGTTTCACTTCTTGAATGATAATTGCCTGTGCTGCCATTGCTTTCTGAAACCGATCCTCGTTGTTAGCTGCCACAACTTCCTTGAGATCATCCACATTGTAAACACGTGAAGTTTCAAGATCTGAGACGCACGATCCCACATTTCTAGGAACAGATATATCGATGAAAAGCCTCCGCCCTCCAATTTGATGGCTTGCAGGGGGGATTATCTGAACATTTTCTTTCAAGAACAATGGTGTTTTTGAAGCGGTACAGGTGAAAACCACATCAGCTTCTGCAACACATGACAGCAATTCTTGGAGAGGCTTGTAGACAATTTCAACATCATTAAGCCCTTCACGAATGGCAGTAACCTTATCCTCAGTTCTATTGACAACTACCATTTTTCTGCACCCTTTTGCAACCAAGTGCTTGATCACGATTTTCCCCATCTTGCCCGCTCCAACAACCAACACTCTGGCATTAGCATAAGATGACACAGGGAGCTTCAAAAGGCCAAGATCCACAGCAGCTGAGCTGACTGAAACTGACCCTGATGAAATGCTAGTCTCTGTTCTCACCCGTTTCCCAACAGTGATTGCATGCTTAAACAGCCCACTGATTTTCCTACCGAAGCCAGGGACTCCTTGTCCTCCCTTTACAACTTGTCTTACCTGAGCAAGAATTTGACCTTCTCCTAGAACAAAAGAATTGAGCCCAGCAGATACTTCAAACAGGTGCTTTGTGGCATCTTTGTTATACAGCAAAAACTGGTGTTGACAAAGCTCTGAAACTGGAACTCCACTCATCTGTCAATAGGAAGACAAATCTTGTCACTTCCACATTTTGTGAACTATATATACACATAAACACACACACGCACACACACACACACATATTTACGATCATTACTTGGTGCAATAGTAATATTTGGGTTGCCAATTGTGATAACACCAGTTCAAGTCTGAGGGCACCAGAGGTTCAGTCCCCAGTTCACCTCAATCAGCACCCTACATGCCCAGACCATCTTTGGTAAAGTCATATATATATATATCAGTATATGTCTATATACATACATGTATTTTGAAGAACACTTTATACAGTTGGAAACTCAAAGTCTCCATCACAAGCATTTTGAAGGACAAATTTGCATAAATAGTATAAGTTCTACTACCACACTAGTCCTTTTTATTGATAAATGGCCAAGACTACACTCCTAATCACCTTGCATTTTAGGTAGACCTACCCCTTATCCTTCCTGGGAATCTATACTGCCGAAAAAAATAAAGGAACACAGACAATGTTCAATGGCAAACCATCTGTGAAGGCTCAGAGCCTTGGATAATTATCACCATTTAAACTGATAAGTTTCTCTCTAGGGGGGCATATGATTTGACCCCTAGATAGACCATTTGTAAAGGCTTTAATACATACATACGGATATATATAGAAGGAAGGATAGTTCCCTTTTCTCTCTAATTACACAAGAGAAGAAAATCGCATAGAGCAGACAAGTACCTTTGACATCCACTCAGTAACTTCTTTAACCCCACGATGCTGAGATAGAGCCACAAAATATATTTCCATTCTGTTACAGGTACTAAGAACGGCAGCTTCTTCTATGTGATTCAAAGCACATAATTCGCCAATTGCTTGAGGCCATTGTGCTTCTGGAATTGAAACTTTCTCACGTATCTCAACTGGTGCTGTGTGAACATTGAGCCCGATGACCACAATACTGCTGCTTTCTTTTGTGTATCCTGGGGGGAAAATATTGAATAATTCAACAAATCAACAATCCACAAAAATTTCATGTGATTCTAAGAGGCATATGAACAATTACAACGAGAAAACAAAAATGTTTTTTTTTTTCTTTTCTTTTTAGCTCCTTTCTTAAAGATATTTACTTGGAAGTAGTAAAGATATAAAATCTCCTGCTTTGTATCTATGAATAAGCACTCTACCCTACAATCTAAGACAATGGATTTTTTATTTTTATTTTTAACTTTAATTTTATTACCTTGTATTATAGAGACAAATAAAATATACTATTATGCTCTAGGATTGATATATAGCTATACATAAGGTAAGTTATACATAAAGCACACTGATACAACCATTTTGAACTGAGCTCCTATTTGTGCTAAAACATATTTTCCCCAAATAAAGATTGGCTTGTTTAGTAGATGAATCAATCTGATACAAGCATTTTGATCTCAGATCGAGTACTAGTTTGTTCAATGTGCAATCTAAAACTGGCAATCAGCTTGCTCGGGTAGTTAAATCTCGACTTGATAAAAAACCAAGCCCCAATATTGGATTTTGCTTGACTAATTAATAGCGTCAACAATCTTAAAAGAGCCTCTAATCAAACAGTTGGTTCAAGCAGCTTGGTTGTGTCTTATGGCACAAACTAAGATGATTAACAAAAACAACCAAAACAAGTACCATTTGGGCACAAATTCAGCTAAGAAACAATTTCAATTAAGAAAAAAGTAATGCCTGTGTCCCAATTTCAAATAACATATGTCCCAATTTCAAATAATTAAAGGGGATAATAAATTAAAAAAAAAAAAAAAAAATCACAAAAAATAAGAAACAGAAAACAAATTGAGAAATATAATGAACACGATTCGAGAATTGACTCACTGTCAGCAGCGGAAGTCTTGAGCAGTTCGAGAGCGGAAACACTTAACGCCTTTGATTTGGTCCTATCATCGTGAACTGAAGCGTCCAAAGCAACCCTAACCTCATAAGTAGGGTTCAAAGAAAGTGGTCTCTTGGAAACCATTGCTTCAACTTTCAATGGCTTGTTGTTGCAAAATCGAATAGCAGAAGGAAGAAAAGAAGCCGTTGAAGAATAGGAAGTGGAGGCACCGCAACGAAGGAGTGTTGTAGAATCCATATTCGGCTTCATCTTCAACTCCGCCAAAGAGGCCGCGAAATAACTCGCGACCGCCATGGGAACGGTGGCTAAGGAGCTTCAAAACCCTAATATCAGAGCAGGTAGAGGTGAAAATTGAGATTTGAGAGAGAGTTCAACCATATTTTCAAACGTTGGTTTGGTATATTGGTGCGAAATATTTGACCAAGGCACTCTTCGACTTTCTACATTAAACGCGTCTGGTCCTCTTTCTCTCTCACACACGCACTGAATTGAAAAACATGTTTTTCAACATTTGTGTCAAAGATGGTTTGCGTTTTTTAGTATGGAAGTAAAAGTAACAGTGCTGAAAATCAACATTAAAAAATCGAAAAAACAAATACTATAATTTAAAATACTCTAGTGTTATCTTGTTGTAAGTTCGCATTAAGGTTTGTTTTGATTTTTTTTATTTGTTCATTTGAATATGTTGTCTTAAAAAATTGTTTTAGAGCTAGAAAGAAAAAAAAAGTACTTGTCAAAATTATATGTTTGATTTGTAAAAATATTTTTAGTTATCATAAACAACACCTACTACTACTACAGGATACTCGAATTCAATTGAATAAAAAATTTAGCAAAATGTTTTGACCAGAGTGAACTGAAGAGTGTTGATACAAAGTTACTGATATAACATCACGGGTTTTAATCAAAGTGAACATAATTACGTGAAGTGTTCTGATCGAAGTCTGATTAATTCTTGAAGTGGTGTTCTGAGTGAGGTGTGATTGATTCTTCGAGTATTCTGATCAAGGTGTGATTGATTCTTGAAGGGATATTTTGATCAAGGACGAGGGGTATCATTTGAAATGTTCTGACACGTCATTTCAAATATTATGTGAAGTGTTTTGATCAACAATTGACACGTCACATATAACACATGTAAAGTGTTTTGATCAAGAGGTATCGAACCGGTATATACATATCGCTGTAAAATGTTTTGATTTAACCAAAGTGAAAGAAATATTATCATCAAAGTGACTTAGTGTACATATATAGTGCAGGAATGCTGATACAACATGATGTGAAGTATTCTAACCGAAGTAAAGTGTAACTCATAAATTTTACCTCCGATTCTCACTTACTTGAAAAGAAATGTTAGAAAGATAATTCTAACTCCTGTTTTAACAATTTTTCTATAAAGATCAACATAAAGCTCAGAAATTTTAAATACATAAACAAATCATGGATGTCTGCGGGTCTAGGTTTCCTCTATCTATAAGAAGATCTGTTACTTGAAAGCTTAATGGAACTTCAACTGTGACAAGGGCACTTCACCACGTCAGCAATTTGTGTATTGGGCTGTGGACACTAAAAAAGAAACCAGTCAAGACTTGTCCTGAAACATATTTCCCCAAATAAAGATTGGATTTGTTTATAAACATGAATCATTCCGATACAAGCATTTTGATCTGAGCTCGAGTACTCTTCATTATGCAATCTTAAAATGGCAACGAACTTGGTTATGTCTCACTTGTTATGGCCCAAACAAAAACGATGAACAAGTTAGAAAAACAACCAAAACTAGTACCATTTGAGCACAAAATAAGAAACAATTTCATTTAAGAAGAAAAGCAAAGAGTATGTCCCAATTTCAAATAACAGTGGGATAACAACAAAATTGGAGAAATAAAAAATAAAAATAGAAGCAGAAAATAAAATGAGTATTGGATTCGAGAATTGACTCACCCTCTGTAGTTGAAGTCTGGAGCAGTTCGAGAGCAGAAACACTTGACGCCTTTGATTCGATCGTATCATCGTGAACTGAAGAATCCAAAGCACCCTCACATGTAGGGTTCAAAGAAAGTGGTCTCTTGGAAACCATTGTTTCAACTTTTAAGGGCTTGTTGCACATTCTATTGCCAGGACGAAAAGGAGGAGTTGGGGAATAGGAAGTGGAGGCACTGTAACGAAGGAGTGTGCGAAAGATGTAGAGCCATATTCATCCTTCATATAGTCGCAAGTACAGCTCAAGACCAAACGTTGCAATTATTATATTTATTTTTATTTATTTAGAATTTAAAATTTCAACTGAGATTTGGTGGGGTGTGCCAAGCCCAGGCTATAGTGCAACGCCAAGGCAACACAACAAGAGGCCCAATAGCAAGCTACCGTGGTGACCCCTCCCCCTAAAAAAATTAATTTAATACCGGGTGAGCCATTGACCCACGTATCAGATATTAAACTGATAAGAACAAATACTACACTTGATCTTAGCCAAAAGGCCGAGAAAGGTATGATTTATTTATTCACCAATCTCTCCTTTTATAACCAAACTCTCTCCCACTTTTCTCTCTTAACCGATGTGGGACGGACTTGGCTAAACAAAGCACATGTCTTGGCTGTTCTTCATTGAGCCCCTTAACTTGCTTCTGACTTTTGGAATTGCCAGAATAATCTTCAACTTTCAGTAAGTTAACACTTGCCATCTTTCCATCTCACTCATTTCGCTAGTTCCATTTCTATTCATACATATACATAAAAAATTGTGGTTATTTATATATATATATATATGTAATGCAGGCTACTTCATCTATCTCTAAACTTCAATAGAGTAATTCCTTTTTGATGATTCACAGCTCAGAATGATATTAACCTTAAAGTCCATCACATCTTGAATTGTGTTTCTCGAGTATGGAATATGAATGTTCCCCTTGTATTTGTTAATTTAGAACTGGTTCTGGTTTATCTTTTTCACATATTCTGGTTAGGAATAGTAACAGTTGCAGTTTTTAGCAGTAAATTGGTGATTGTTTTGCTGCAATTTACGAATTTAATGGTCATACTCTTATAGCTCCACAATTTTATGTTTATCATGGTAATGTTAGGGTTTATTTTTCATCCATTTTATCAGACGTCTTGCTAAAAATTTCAAAAGGAATGTTATTCGGGAGTTATCTAATCCAATAACAAAATTAAATCATCCGAAACTTCGAGGTTTCAAGATGGTTTATATGAATTTATGATTCCTAACAAAGTGCCATAAAACATAACATGCAGTTATTAACCCAAAAAGAGCAGGAAAATGGAAACAATATGATCAGATCATATGAATCAGGTCTGTGCTGTATTACATATAGTTCAAACTTGTAAAAATCAGTATCATTTGTGAATCCTCAATAGAATATATATGTTTCTGGTCACATACAATATTGTATTACACCAACATAACGTACCCTAAAGATTCAACATATCTCAGATGTGAACGGGCAACTTAAATTGAATAGAGGTAAGATTGCAGCCGTGAACTGAAGTTGAATCCAAATTTGCACATTTTTGCCACAGGAAAATTAATTTGGAAGAAGAAACATGAAGATATAAAACTTTTTTATGTGATCTTTTTTCTAATTAGTCGAGCTAAAGCTGCAAAAGAGTATTGTAGAAAATAGAAATCTGGTCAAAATGCTGCTGAATCATCTACGAAATTATATGAAACAATCCTTGCTCAAAGTCTTTGTAGTACTGTAGAAATCTGGTCGAAATGCTGCTGAATTATCTAGGAAACTATATGAATTAACCATTGCTTGCCCAAAGTCTGGCTGAAGAATTGGCAATTCAGAGAAAAGCACAACAGTTCTCAAATTAATTAAACACGTCATTATTAGATTTAATATACATATACGTGTGTGTGTGTGTGTGTGTGTGTGTGTGTGTGTGTGTATCCCAAGAGCATATGTTCTGTCCTTAGCACGTATCCACAATCAACCATACATTTCAAAAAATAAACACATCCGAAATAAATATTACATTTGTGTATACCACAACAAATGACATATATAAACATAGATGAATATTAGATAAGCATATTGATAAAGAATATACAATTTCAAAGGGAGAGAGTGCCTTGTGAAAGAAAAAAGTTCCACAGATGTTCTAGAAAAGGTATAAATTTTAATGCATGCATGTTGGCATCAAAAATGCAGATACTAAATAATTAGTTTTGAAGATAAAAACTGGTTCAACCCAGTAGATTAACTCATACTTAAATTTATCATACTTGAGAGTGTTTCTGCTTTCATTACTTGTACGTATTCTCCATTTCAGAATATCCCACCCTCTTTTGTTCAACGTACAGTTAGATCGACCTTCAGTAAAATTTCTATGTAACAATATCATGTCAAGACTACTTACTATATATATATATATATATATATATAAAGGTCTCACAAAAACAAAAGCATATATAAATTGTCAATTGTCCACTAAAATCCATGGAGTAAATCTATTGTTTGGTCAATCTTTAGGTTCAAAATAGTGCCATAACATACTTGTTTCACACAGTAGGATGTAGGTCATCCGACTCTAATATCAGAGCAGGTAGAGGTGAAGATGTGAGATTTGCAAGTGAGAGAGAGTTCAACGATACTTTCAAACGTCGGTTTAATATTTGTCTGAGGCACTCTTCGACTTTCTACATTTATTTCACGTTGCCGGCCCGCTTTCTTCGTCTGGTCCTCTTTCTCTCTCTCTCTCTCTCTCACACACACACACGCACTGAATTGAAGAACATGTTTTTGAATATTTTTGTCAAAGATGGTTTGCGTTTAATAGTATGGAAGTACAAGTAAAAAGTGCAGAAAATCAACATAAAAAAATAGAAAAAACAAATACTATATAAAATTATTTACTTGAAATACTCTAGTGTTATTTTGTGTAAGTTTGGGACTGAGGTTTGTTTTGACTTTTTTTTGATCTGTTCATTTGAATATCTTGTCTTAACAACTTGTTTAGAGCTCAAAAAAAAAAAAATTGCTTATATTATTACAAAATAATTAATTAAGTAATAATGTCAAAATTTAAACCAAAAGTTGTCAAAATTATATGTTTGATTTGTTTAAAGAATGTTTGATTGTCATAAACGACTAATACTCAAATAAAATTGAATAAAAACTCTCATAAAATGTTCTGACCAAAGTGAACAAAATCACGTGAAGTTTTCTGATCGAGGTTTGATTAGATTGATTCCTGAAGTGTTCTGATCGAAAGATATTTTGATTGAGGGACATCATGCGAAGTCTTATGATCGAGGGATATCATGACTTAGTGTCCATAGCTAGAGGCCGCAAGAGTGCTGATATAATGTCACATTAAGTGTTCTTTAATCAGGGTAAAGTGTAGGCCATAAATTATACCTTTGATTCACACTTATGCGAAAAGAAATGTTAAAAAGATAATTCTAGCTCCTGTTTTAACTTTTTTTCTACAAAGATCAATATAAAGCTCAGAAATTCTAAATAAATAAACAAATGATGGATGCGTAAGGGTCTAGGTTTCCTCAAATAAAGATTGGCTTTTTGTATAAACATGAATCATTCTTATAGAAGCATTTTGATCTAAGCTCGAGTACTCTTTATTATGCAATCTTTAGATGGCAATGAACTTGGTTATGTCATGAGTTATGGCCCAAACAAAAATGATGAACAAGTTAGAAAAACAACCAAAACAGGTACCATTTGAGCACAAATTCACCAAAGAAGAAAAGTAAAAATATGTCCCAATTTCAAATGACAGGGGACACAAAAAATGGAAAAAAAAAAAATTAAAATATTGAAATTGAAAAAAAAAACAAAAAAATATTAACAACAAAATTGAATCAATTTACAAAAATCAAAGATTGTATAAAATTTTAACTTGAGGTTTGGTGGGGTGTGCCAGGCAGGCTATAGTGCAACACACAAGAAGCCCAATAACAAGCTATTACGGTGGACCCTGCCCCTCAAAAAAATAAATTTAATACATGTGGGCCATTGGCCCACGTATCAAATGTTAAATTAAACTAATAAGAACAGATATTACACTCGATCTTAGCCAGAAGGCCAAGAAAGGTTTGAATTGCACATTCACCGGCCTCTCTTTTTATAACCAACTCTCTTTCTCCACTTTTATCTCTTAACCGATGTGGGACTTAGCTAAAGCACTTCCCTTGGTTGTTCTTCATGATCATGAAATATATCTATTTGAGCCCTTTAACTTGCCTCTGAGTCAAGTCACATAAAACGGGAGCGAGAACAAATTCGAGAGCGGGAGTGCGAAAGTAACAAAATTAAATTACAAATAGTGGGAATAGGAGTGTGCGCGGAACGTAAAAGCGGAAGCACACTCAAAGTGTAAGAGTGACACCCATTTATAAGAATTGTGTAACTTAACTTTTGACTTTTGAAATTGGTTGAATAATTTTCATGCTTCAGTAAGTTAACACCTACCATCGTCATACCCTATTGAAATTTATGTTCATACATGTACTTAAAAATTGTGTTTATATATATGTGTGTGTGTGTGTGTGTGATGTAAGCTATTTCATCTCTCTCTAAATTTCAACATTATATACTTAAAAGTTGCTTAAATTATTACAAAAAAGTTAATTAAATAATAATTTCAAATTTCAAACCAAAATTTGTCAAAATTATATGTTTGATTTGTGGTTATCATAAACTACTTATACTCAAATAAAATTGAATAAAAACTCTAATAAAATGTTCTGATCAAAGTGAATATAATTAACGTAAAGTGTTTTGCACATCACATATCACATATCACTGTGAAATATTTGATTGAAGGCTAATAAATTATGTGAGGTTGTCTAACCAAAGTGAAAGATAGAAGTATTCTCATCAAAGTGACTTAGCGTTCATAGCTAGAGGTCGCAGTAGGGGTGTTCAAAAAAATCGGTAAACCAAAAAATCGATCCGGACCGTACTGAATTGGGCGGTTTGGGCTAGTTGTATAATGGTTTGGTCCGGTCCTGTCCAAAATTATAGAACCGTAATTTTTCGGTCCAGTCCTGGTTTAGGGTCGTGCTAGACTGGACCAACCCGGACCGAACCGTTACTATGTTATATAATATTTATTTATATATGTATATCATATCATAAACCTAAATCAATTAAAGTTCTCATGTGCCCACTTTCTTTCTTTTGATCTTTAAATTACCTTAAATTTCTTTTAAAAAAAGTCAAATTTCCCTTTTCAAATACATCTCAATTTTCTTTCCTTTCCTTTCAAAAATATTTCAATTTTCTTTCTTTTTTTTTTTTTTTTTTGTGTATTATATTAATGTTAGTTGATATATATATATATATATATATATTTAGAAACTTTGCCCCCTCTAAATTAAAATAAAATAAAAAGGAAATCAACTCAGACCGACAAACCGAATCGGTTTTTCGTGGTTTGGTTTGGTTTCAAAAATAGTAGAACCGTTATAAATGATTTGGTTTCAAAATACTTCCAATCCGGTCCAAACCGGACCGTGTACACCCCTAGGTCGCAGAAGTGCTGATATAATGACACATTAAGTGTTCTCTATCAGGGGTAAAGTATAGCACTTAATGCAATGTTGTTTACTTTTGTTACTATTTCTGGTGCTTAATCTATACTTGGTTGTGACACTTCAAACGAGGTTATTCACTTGATTAGAAAACTTTCTGACTATGGGAATACGAAAGACGAATATGGCACTATGCAATTCCAATGGCGGTCGCCGTTCTCTTTTTGACCTCTTTCGCATAGTTCAAGACGAAGATGAAGATGGATTCTACAACACTCCTTCGTTGCAATTTCCTATTCTTCAACTCCTCTTTTCGTCCTCCTGGTATTCGAATGTGCAACAAGCCCTTGAAGGTTGAAAGTGTTCCCAAGAGACCACTTTCTATGAACCCTGCTATAGATTCTTCAGTTCACAGTGAGTCAATTTCATTTTATTTCCCAATATGTTTTCTGCTAATATTTTTTATTTTAATTTCAATTTCATTTTAAAAAAAATTTCTATTTTTTTGTTATTATCCCCTGTTATTTGAAATTGGGACCCGAGATCAAAGATTCATGTTTTTAAAAATACCAATCTTTATTTGGGATAGACCCAAGAGACATTATGGCCAAACAAAGCTGTTCTGTCGATTTCAACAAGCCCAAAAGAAGCAATATAAAAAGTTGTGTAATGAGTATATATATATTATTATATATAGAAGATCCGAGCTTCAAAGCTTAATTCATATAATCCTCCAACCCAAGTCCAAGACTCTATAAAATTCAACTGAGATTTGGTGGGGTGGGCCAGGCCTAGGCTGTAGTGCAACGCCAAGGCGACCCACAAGAGGCCCAGTAGCAAGCTACTGTGGCAAACTCTCCCCAAAAAAAAATTAATTTAATACCGAGTGGGCCATTGGCCCACATATCAGATATTAAACTGATAAGAACAGATACTACACTTGATCTTAGCCAAAAGGCCGAGAAAGGTATGGATTGGCCATTCATCAGCCTTTCCTTTTATAACCAACCCTCTCTCCCCACTTCTCTCTCTTAACCGATGTGGGACTTTGCTAAAACACTTCGCTTAGTTGTTCTTCATGGCTATGGCTTTCGTGATAGATCTATACCTATTGAGCCCCTTGCTTCTGACTTTTAAAAACTACAAAAGTATAAGCATCCATGACAGTGAGTACAATCCAGACCAAGAAATATTATTCTTGGATTTCACAGTTGGTTTCCTCTCTATGTAGAAGCTTCTCTACGAGTGCAGAGTTTTCTCGCTTTTGTCAAGACGTCATGGCTAGAGAGTGGATCTATTCTTGAATTTGTTCCTCTATGGTTTCTTCCAATTTGGTTTGGTGGTATCATGTCAAACACGAGCATGCCAGATGCTTTCGGTGTACTCTGGACTAAGTTACAAGCTTTCATTGTTCTTCAGTCATGGGATCCTGGGAATGGTCTCTGGTTTCTTGGTTTTCTTAAATCATGGGATTGTGTGAGTTTATTTCCTAGGACTTGCTATTTACATATGTAATGCAAGCTACTTCATCTCTCGCTAAATTTAATAGAGTAATTCCTTTTGATGACTCACAGCTGATAATGATATTAACCTTAAAGGACCCAATTTGGTCACCTACTCTTACAGAGTCCATTGCGTCTTGAGTTGTGTTTTTCTTATGGAATATGGATGTCCCTCTTGTTTTGTTAATTTAGAATTAATTCGTTCTTTGATCACATATTCTGGTTAGTAACATTTGCACTTTTTAGCAGTAAATTGGAGATTGCTTTGCTGCGATTTACATTAGCTATGTTTTATCACTACATTAAATCAGTCTCATTAATAGTTAATAGTTTTATAACTCCACAATTTTATGTTTATCATGGTAATGACTGATTATATTTTTCATCTATTTAACGAACTTCAAAACCCTAGTATCAATTTTTTTTTTTTTTTTTGGAGAGATAGTTCAACGAATTTTTCAACCGACAATTTTTTAGGAAATGGGACTTATTTATACTCACATACTGTTTGTTGCCTTGTCCAATTTGACACTAAAAAGCAGAAAATGCTCTTATGTGTCAACAATTTGGGGAGATGCAGTCAATTTTTTTTTTTTGAATGGTGGAGATGCAGTCAATTGTTAATAAGAAAGAATGTGAAAGATCAAATTTTTTTTTAATAGAAGGAGCAAATATCTTCACCTTTTTTAAAAGAAAAAAAAAAAAAAAAAAAAAAAAAAAAAAAGACCAGTTACAAACTTTGATTTATCTATGTATCCGCATTAGTGAAGTTACGAAACTTGAAATAAAAAAATTTATAAGATATGACTTAATGTTCCTTTTTCCTTTAAGTCTACCACATAGTTCCAAAAAATAAAAATAAAAATAACTGTCTGATGCCCCCTCGACTTCCACAAGAACATGAGTTATCTGTGCAGCCAAATATTATCTGATCACTTGATCAGTCATTCTATTTCCATTTATGTTGGGTAAATACATAATATAGGATTATTTTATTTTAGTACAGAAAACCCGAAAATATTATAATTATGAAAGAATGCATATATATATATATATATATATATATATATATATTGTTGATATTCTTTATATGAGGTATTGGAGAAAATTATGATGTGAGAGAGAAAAAATATTAAGAGAGAGAAAAGTTGTAAGCGAAAACACATTGTGCCATCAGAAATGAAAACAAGTTTCGATCAATTAGGCTCCGTTTGTTTCGACGTAAAATCTATTTTTTGAAAAATATATTTCTTTTTCAGGTAAAATATTTTTTTATTTTTACTTTGTCGATGTTGAACAAAGGTCTACATTGAGGTAGAGGTGGAATCCATCAGACGGGGCACGTAAAATAACTTGCCGAAAATTAATAAATAAGTTATTTTTGTTAAATTTTAATATTTTTTTCTTTGTAAATAAAAAAATATTTTTTGTAAAATATTTTACGTCTAAACAAACGAAGCCTAATTGAAAATTGTTTCATTTATAATGGCACCATTCAATATAGTGTTTCACTTTTGGCTTACAACTTTTCTCTCCCTTTATATTTTTTCTCTCTCACATCATAATTTTCTCCAATACCTCATATAAATAATATCAACAATATATGTACATTCTTTCATAATTATAATATTTTTGAGTTCTCCAATACCTCATTTAAATAATATCAGCAATATATAGTATTCTTTTTTAAATATGTTGGTGATGGTAGTGAATAAGTTAATTTTTTTATGTATAAAAATAATAAATAATTTTTCTTTTTAATAAATTTTATGTTTCAGAGTTCCATCACGTAATCTTTTCGTTGTTTGTCTTCTTGATGTAACTTTGGAGTATATTTTACGACAAAATAAATATTTTATTTATTATTTAAACAAGGGAAAAAATGGTATTATATTATTTTTATTCAAAATCTCATTTTATATCCAATTTGTTCCAAAAATATTAATAAATTTTATTTTAATTCCAATTCCTATTCCAATTCAAATTCTTTTTCCAAATCCTAAAACAATTAATTCCAAATAAAGCGGAAAGGAAAAAGGAAACAATAAGTCATATCTTATAAAAAAATTTATTTCAAGTTTCGTTACTTAACTAATGCAGATGCATAGATAAATCAAAGTTTGTAACCGCTATTTGTTTTTTGTGTTTTTTTTTTTTTTTTGTTTTTTAAGTGAAGATATTTGCTCCTTCTATTAATGAAAGATAAAATAAAATAATTGCTCTTTCACATTCTTTCTTATTAACAATTGTCTGACACATAAGAGCATTTTCTGCTTTTAGTGTCAAATTGGAAATGACAAGGCAACAAACAGTATGTGAGTACAAATAAGTCCCATTTCCTAAAAAATTGTCGTTTGAAAATTTCGTTATATAATATTAGGATTTTGAAACTCGTTAGATAGATGAAAAATATAATCAATCATTATCATGATAAACATAAAATTGTAGAGTTATAAAACTATTAACTATTAATGAGACGAATTTAACGTAGCGATAAAACATAACTCATGTAAATTGCAGCAAAGCAATCTCCAATTTACTGCTGAGAAGTGCATATGTGATCAAAGAACTAGTTCTAAATTAACAAGTACAAGAGGGACATTCATATTCCACACAGAGAAACGGAACTCAAGATGTAATGGACTCTGTAAGAGTAAATGACCAAATTGGGTCTTTAAGGTTAATATCATTCTTAGCCGTGAGTCATCAAAAGTAATTACTCTATTGGAATCTAGAGAAAGATGAAGTAACTTGCATTACATATATATATATACACAATTTTAAGTATATATATGAACGTAAATTTCAAAACTTACTGAAATTTGAAGATTATTCAAGTCATACAATTCTTCTAAATGGTTGTCGCTTTCACAATCCGAGCGTACTCTTGCTTTTACATTCCGTGCACGCTCTCGCTTCTATTCCCACTATATGTGATTTTGCCGCTTTCACACTTCCACTCTTAAATTCATTCTCGCTTTATGTGACTTCGATCATAAGTAAGTTAAGGAGCTCAATAGATGATAGATTATCATGAAAGCCATAACCATGAAGAACAGCCAACAATAGCTTGTTATTGGGCCTCTTGCGTGGGCCTCTTGCATGTTGCCTTGGCGTTGCACTATAGCCTGGGCCTGACACCTCACCAAATCTCAGTTAAAATTTTATATTCTATATATATACATAAAATTTATGAATTAATACATTCGTAAAATGATTAAAGTTTAATTCATGTATATCTTTTGGGCTTGTTCTTTGGGCTTTCTAGCCAGAACAGTTTTGTTTGGCCCTATTGCCTCTTCCCACTCATTGTTGATCATGTACCATTTTACCTCTGTATTTATAAATTGGTTAACCCTCCAAAAAATTCGATTTCTGCTGCAGTGAGTCACTTCTAGAATCAATACTCAAGATCCTTATTTTGCAATATGTTTTTTGCTAATATTTTTAATTTTAAATTTAATTTCATTTATAAAAAAAATTCCATTTTTTGTTGTTATCCCTTGTTATTTGAAATTGGGACATAGTTTTACTTTTCTTATTCGGTGAATTTGTGCTCAAATGGTACTAGTTTTGATTGTTTTTCTAACTTGTTCATCATTTTTGTTTGGGCCATAACTCACAAGACATAACCAAGTTCATTGCCATTTCAGCTCAGATCAAAATGCTTCTATAAGAATGATTCATGTTTATTAAAAAGCCAATCTTTATTTGGAGAAACTTAGACCCGCAGACATCTATGATTTGTTTAAGTATTTAGAATTTCTGAGCTTTATATTGATCTTTGTAGAAAAGTTATTAAAACAAGAGCTAGAATTATCTTTTTAACATTTCTTTTAACATAAGTGAGAACCGGAGGTATAATTTATGAGCTACATTTTACCCTGATTAGAGAACACTTAATGTGACATTATATCAGCACTCCTGCAGCCTCTAGCTATGGACACTAAGTCACTTTGATGAGAATACTTATATCTTTCACTTTGGTTAGAACACCTCATATAATTTTTCAACCTTCAATCAAAACACTTCACGGGTGATATGTGATGCATCTATCCGGATCAGTGGCATAGCCATAGAGGGACAAGCTAACTTTTAATTTTTTTTAATTTTATATGGAAAGATTTTTTATATTTGTATAATTGTCCCCACTAAAATTTGACAGTGCACTTATATATACTATATATATAACCAAATGACCATTCACGATACTACACCAAAAAAAAGAATATAATCTTTTCAAAAAATATGATATTATTTTTTTTCACTTTCTCAAAATATTATATTATTTCCCACTTTCTCCAAAAATACAAAATATTCTTTCACACTTTTGACTCTACCACAAACAAATGCGTTATTTCCTTCACATTTTCAGTCTTTAATATTTTTTTTTGGTCGAGTCTTCAATATTTCAAAAATTCACAAAATTCAAACAAATACTGCAGTGCGGAGATAGGTAATCTGATATA